GTTTCCCCTTAGCGCGTCACAGGGTGTAGGTTCAGTGGCCGGACCGACCTTTGTCTCTTGTTTTTTGGGCTGGCTCTGGTTTTTGGGGCGGGGCTTGTCCGGTACCCTGTGTCGGGTTTCGAAGCTTGCCTTTCTCGCGTCCTGTGGATGTACCTTTGTCGCGCGCCGGAGATGACTCGACGCCGCTGAGATCGGAGATCAAGCTCTGACAGGTCGCGAGTCGCTCCTTTGACGCCGACGTGACTCACCCGTGCAGATCACATCAGGACACGGTCTCGACGCGCTCGGTACGACGCCTGCGACCCGTCTCGGGTCAGGTGGCACGACGCTCATATCGCCTGCCAGCGCTGCCGTGCAGGTTGCCACGACGAGGTCGAGCAAGCTTCTATACGCTCGCCGAGCCTTCCTTTCCATCCCATTAGGCAGCCTGGGAACGGTGGCGATCAGAGGCAAAGCCTACGAGGGGTGGTGGAACCACATGTCACGGCTACTGCCGGCTCGACCCCACGATAGCCTCCGGAGGCTGACTTTGAGGCACAATCATCGGACGATGTCGACGAGTTGGGTCGCTCTCGCGGTAGCCAGATGACCTCTCATACTAGGATCATCGGCCATGGCCGCAGGGAGCGCGGGGGAGGGCGCTGGAAGCAACACGGAGCTCCGTTGGAGACGTTTTCAAGATTAGCGTGTCAGAGTGAAATGGCACTAGCCCAAAGGAAATTCTACACCTGAGAAGAACTCACGCTGTGGACAGTCGCAAATTCGGATACTGCAGCGGGACCATCAAGCACGCCGTGGGGTATGGCCCGGATTGCATCTGCCGGCTCTCCTCGCCACCAGGCACAAGACACGGCCGGCTCTCGCCACCCTTCCACTCACCCCAACCATACACATCGCCCTCCTCACTCACGGCAAAGCTGGTCTCCGCATAGTCACCTTGACCTGCGGCTATCCCCACCACCCTCACCACCCCTTGGAGCCCCTCTATGACTCGCGGCGTAAGCTGGCTGTGGCAATCGCCATGCCCAAGCTGGCCGTCGTAGCCCGAGCCAAACGAGTAGACCGTTCCCGCCTCACTCAGGCAGAGGCTGTGAGTGCCTCCCGCAGACACCGCAACTATCCTCACTCCTCGAAGCGCCTCGATGAGCCGCGGCGTGAAATGGTCGTGCTCGTCCTCGCCGTGCCCGAGCATGCCGTAGAACTCTCCGCGTCCACTCCCGCCACAGCCGAAGGAGAGCACCTCTCCCGCCTCACTGAGCACTAGGGAGTGGTTTTGGCCCGCCGACACGGCGACCACCCTCACGCCTTGCAAAGCTCGGATCACGCGCGGAGCGTGGCAGCACCATGTCGCGTCATTGTACTCGCAATCGCCATGCCCAAGCTTGCCCTCCGAGCTGCTGCCCCACGAGTACACCTCCCCCGCCTCGCTCAGCACTAGGCTGTGCTCTGCTCCCGCCGACACCGCAATCGCCTTCACGCCTTGCAGTGCGGGGATGACTCGCGGAGTCCCGCGCGCACGATCCCATTCCGGGGGAGTGTCCTCGTCTGTGAAAGCCACAAGTCTGCTCACAAGTCTGCCGCCCGGAGGCACCAGAACATGCTCCCAACCGCTGCCGCACGAGTAGACATCTCCCGTGTCACTCAGCATTAGGCTGCGGGCGCCCTGGTAAGCTTCGCCTCCCGCAGCAACTGCAACCACCCTAACCCCTTGCAGCGCCTCGACAAGCCGCGGCTCGAAAACATCATCCTGATTGCCATGCCCGAGCGGCCCGCCGCTGCCCAGGCCGAACGAATAGACCTCGCCAGCCTCGCCGAGCACCAGATGGTGCGTATCCGACACCGAGACGCTGCGGACAATCGTAGCAGCGAGCCCTGGCACCACTGTCGGCACTGGCACCACGATGGCCTGAGCCCCATGGCCCAGCATAGCTCCCCTGAAATGCTGCTCTGCGTGTTGGGTTGGTGGCGTCTGATCGCCGCACGTGAGCAGCCTCCCTTCCGCATCGATGAATGCACTGCTGCGAGTGCCTCCCGCCACAATCTGGCGCTGGCGCTGAAACAGGTCGCGCCGTTCGCCCCAGCAGAGCGCCTGCGCCATCGACTCGCCTGCGCGCAGCCCCCGTTCGATGATGTGGGGCAGATAGCCCGTCGGCAGTGGCACTGTGCCTCCACGCACGCTCGTCCGCTCACGCATGGCCTCCTCGAAAACCGTGCGAGGCGGTGAGGAATGCGGCGGGCCGTAGAACAGGCGGCACGTGCAGGCAAGGTGTGCCACGTCCTTCACGGTTGGCAACAAGACGGCGATGCGCACGATCATCTCCGGCGGCAGATCGGCGAGCTCGAAGCAGACGGGCTGAGCAGGAGAGGCGGCGGCGGTGGCGGGAGAAGTGGTGAGTGTGATGCTCTGGAGGCGTGCGCCGATTTGCTCGTGCAGAGTGATCGCGGCACGCAGATCATCCTCATCGATGGAGGACGGCGACGACGCCTGGAGTGCTGCGGCGGCCGAGCGGAGGTGGGCGAGATAAGACATGGCACTCACACAAAATCAGCTGGATTCGGCTCTATCGCCCTCGGGGATCCTGCAGTTTGAGCCTCAGTTTTTTGTTGTTGCCTTTTGTGGCAATTGCAGGACGCTACAACCACGGGCGCCGCCCTCCCTCGACTGTCTGCTAAATTAAATCTATGCAAGCTTGTCGGTACAACACTATTGACACAGCGAGCGACCTCGACGTGGGGCCTCAGGGAGCGAGAGGCCCAACCTGGGCCCAGCAAGACCCAAGGCGCCCACCGACAGCCGTCTCAGAGCCCTGCGGGCTTCTTCCGCTTTGCCGGGCGCTCGAAGTCGTTCGACGCCTTGACGCCGGCCATCCGCTGCTTGTACTTGCCGGCGAGGCCGCGGTCGGCCGCCCAGAGGGCGTCCTGGGCCGAGGGAGCGCTTTGTGGGCGAGAGGAGGGGGGGGGCGGGGGTGGAGAGGGGGGGAGGGGGGGGAGGAGCCCGCTCGCTCGCTCTCGCGTCTCGCTCTCGGCGGCTCGCTCTCGCGCCTTTGAGGAGGTGTCCTCGGCGGAGAGGTGCGTCCACTTGACGGCGCCTCGGTGGCCGAAGTTCTTGACCTGCATCGGCGCCGGCATCGCCGCCTTGTCTCCGACAGCGTCGCGCCCGGTCGCCGCGCCAAAGTCCTGCGACATGACTGGCCCCATCTTTGCATTGCCCGTCTCGTCCTCGTCCTGGAAGTAGGCGCCCTTGTGGTAGTACCGCTGCAGGAACTTCCACTGCTCCTTCTCCTGCCCGTGCCCCGCACGGCCCTGGTTGAACTCCTCGTCCTCCGCCGCCCTCTCCGCGTCAGTCAGCTTGCGCCGCCGCTCGATCTCCGCCTTGTCCGCCTCCTCCTTGCGCGCCTCCTCCCGCTCGCGCTTCACGCGCCGCAGCTCTCGCACCTACCATCGCTCGAACATCATCGGTTAGTCACTCACCTTTCATTCATCGCTCATTCACATCTCATTCATCAACCGCTCATTCACATCTCGCACCTTCCACCGCTCGAACTGCTCCAGCTCATCCGCCTCGTCGTCGTCGTCTGGCGGCGCCTCAAACTCTGACTTGTCGACTGGCTGACTCGGCCCCGCCTCCTCCTGCTGGACGATCTGCACCAGCAGCTGGCGGGACTCGTCGGCCCGCTCGGCGACGCGCGCCTCGCGCTTCGCCTTCGCCTCCTCCTCCTCGGCGATCCTGCGGGCGGGGCGGCACAGAGTTAAGCCTCGCCCTCCCTCTGCAGCAGCCCCCCCCCCCCCCCCCTCCCCCCGGCGCTCCTCGCGTCGCGCTCGGCGATGGTGTCGCGCATTCCGGCGCCGATGAAGACGGGCTTCATCAGCACGCGCGGCGCACCCTCCTCCTCCGACTCGTCCTCTGTCTCGTACTCGCTGCTCTCCTCCTCTCCCCCGCCGCCGCCGCCGCCGCCGCCGCCGCCTGCCTCGTCGTCGTCGTCATCGTCGTCGTCGTCCTCGGCGGCGGCAGCCTCCGCCTCCTCCGCCGCCCGCCGCCGCCGCATCGCCAGCAGCCGCTCGCGCCTCGCCTCGATCTCCGCCTCCTCGTCCTCCTCCTCCTCTTCGCTGCCGCCGCCGCCTCCGCCGCCTCTGCTACCGCCGCCACCGGACTCAACGACGGCGGCGGCGGCGGCGGGCCGGCGGCGGCGGCGCACGTCGGCCTCGTCCGCGCTCTCGCCCCCGTCGCTCCCCTCGCCGCCGCTCCCCTCCACCACGGCCGCGCGCGCCCGCCGCCGCCGATCAGACGACCCGCCCTCGACGACGCCCGCTAGCCGCTGCATCCTGCGGTCCGAGGAGGAGGAGGCGCCGGCGCCTGACGCGCCAGGCGCGCCCGATCCCGCGACGCCGGCCGCTCCGCCCCCGCCCAAGAACGAGCCCGCCTCGCTCTCCTCCTCCTCGCCTGCTGCCCCGGCCCAACTCGGCGCCTTGCCCGGCCAGTAGCGCTTCACCTCGACCTTCTCGACCACATTCTCGGCCACCTTGCGGCCCGCCGCCTGCGCCCGCTTCGACCCCTCGCCCTGCGCCGCGCGCGCTGACATGAGGCGACGAGAGAAGAAAAAACCGCTGCGGCGTCCACCCATACCGCGTTGGTGTCCAGTCCGAGCCTGGCTGTTCTTCACCTTTCTACCTACCTACTCCAACCCTAGCTCTCGCTTCGCCAATTCTTTTTCTTCGTGCTGTCGTGGTCTGGGCAGGTGATCTGTGAGGGTCCGCCCGCAGGCGCATTTTGTATACCGAGGCGGTGCCCGGTGCCGAACCTGTCGGACCTTGAGACAGCGTTGTAGATCCCTGGGCGAGGGTGGTGGAGAGGGCAGTCCGTCGGCGCCAAACCACCTCCCACCGAGGTGGGCAGGTTCCACGCGTTCCCGGACCGCCCCGTTGGAGGTAGGCCGCTCGTCTAGCCAATCAGCCTTAAGCGAGCGGCCTGGCCGTTGGAATGGCCCAAGACCGGTCCCCGTCGGGAGGGACTCTGGAAGAGGAGAGCAACCAGGTGCCCGGGGGCGTCCCGCCCACATCCGGATGACCTCTCCTCCTTCGACCAGCCGTCCCCGTGGTGGTCACGCGGCCTCTGGCCGGAACGGGATCTACCTCGCAAGCGAGTCACCCGGGCCGGCGCGCGTCTTCCGGGAGAGGGGCGGGAGCGAGGGACCTCCTTAGTAAGCCGGCATGCAGGCGCATGCACGGCCGTTCAGAAACTTTCCCGGCCGCTGGAATGGCTGCGCTCTCCCGCCCCTCACGCCGGGTTGAGGGGAGGACGACTGTCTCCGCAGGCGGACCTCAGTTACGAGCCGCCCTCCCCTCGAGACGCGAGGCCAGCGCACTCGGGGCCGAGCCCCAGCGTGCACCGTCCCACACGCCTCACGCGGCCTCTGGCTGGAACGGGATCGCAAGCGAGTCCCCCAGGCCGGCGCGCGTCTTCCGAGAGAGGAGCGGGAGCGAGGGACCTTCTTAGTTGTCCGGCATGCAGACGCATGCACGGCCGTTCAGAAATTTTCCCAGCCGTTGGAATGGCTGCGCTCCCGCCCCTCACCGGGCCGCGAACGGGTAGTAGACGTTGGCGCCGAAGAGGGAGGAGTCGCCGAAGGTCGGGTAGTCGTCGGTCATGCGGGGGGAGGAGGAGTCGGCGAGCAGCAGGGAGAAGAAATGCCTGAGAGGGTGGGAGGGAGGCGTGAGGCGCAAGGTGAGGGGCGTGGGGGCGCGGGGCGCGGGGCGTGCGTGGGACGCGAGGCGTGAGGCGCAGGGCGTGGGGCGGGAGGGCGCGGGGCGCTCGAGTGAGGGCAGGGTGTGTTGTGTGTGTGTGTAAATGTGTGTGTGTGTTGTGTGTGTGTGTGTTGGTTTGTTTGTGCGAGAGCTGGGCAGGGCAGGGCAGGGCGGCGGCGAGCGGCGAGCGGCGAGCGGCGTCGGCGAGATCGGCGACGAAGAGAGGCGATGGTGACGTACACGGCGGCAGTGTTCACGGCAGCAGCGCCGGTGGCGGCCCCGCGCAGCGGCGGCGGCGCCCTGAGTGAGGCAGGCTGCCCTGCACAGCCTGCTGGGCACGCTCCCGCCGAGCGGCGCGCCATGCGGGCCCGCCGCGGGCGACGCGGGCGGCGAGCCGACACGCGTGTCGCAGGCGTAGACAGCACTGGCGAGGCGAGGCGGCTGGCGCCGGTCCCGGAGGCGGCTGCAGGAAGAGCAGCGAGGCAGAAGTCACTGTCCAAGGCGTACTGAGCAGGCTGCCATCGAGCAGCGCGCCATGCGGGCCTGCCGCCGGCGACGAGATTGGAGAGCCGACAGGCATCGAAGAGGTAGGTACTGAGGAGGGCCATCGCGCCCGAGGCGGTCCGCGCCGGCCCTGCAGGCCGTCTCAGAGAGCCTGGCGAGGCTGTACAGAATGCCAAGAGCATACTGGGCAGGCTGCCGTCGAGCGACGAGCCATGCTGGCTCGTCGCAGGCGATGAGGTCGAGGAGCCGATCGGAGCGTCGCAGAGGCTGCCGACCACTGCCGTTCGCCCTCGGGCCCAGGGGTGGAAGGCAAGCTTCCTGGCGTTTCTGGCGAGCGTCCAGACGTCGCAGAGCATCCGGCAGGCGCGCAGCGACCCAAATTTTTGCTCACCGCACGGCCGTGCGAGCCGTCGGTCGGTGGTGATGGTCGGCGTCGGCGCGCGCCGACCGACGCGGCGGCGGTGGGCGTCATGTGGCGGGCGTGGGAAAGAGCATTGTCCGAATTGCGGCGGACGTCCCTTTTTTTCGGGCAGGTTGAGAGAGAGAGAGATTTTTAGCATTACGTGTGAGTGTTAGAGTTGTTTGGTATTGCAGGTTGTGAGGGACACGCCGATCTGACAAAATCCCGAGTGCCAAACAACTCAAAATCCATGGCGATGGCGCTAAAAGGTTCTTTCCCCCCCCCCCGCAAGGCGCGCGATGCACATGTGTCATGTCCCACCATGCTCCATGCAGAGCGCATCTCTCTCTCTGTTGTGCGAGGCGTGAACCGCACCATTCGCTAAAAAAAAAAGTCCGAACCCAGGAGTTGATCTAGCCAGGGTTCGGACTTTTTGCGGGGTATGGTATGGTACTCTCGCGCAACCCACCTCGAGACCATACCCCCCCCCGCCTGCTGACAGACCCAGCCTCCCGGAGACCGGGGATGGGCGGTCAGGACCATACCCCCCCACCCTTTGGGCCGCGATATACCATACCATACCCCGCAAAAAGTTGGAACCCAGGTGCTCGAGTCCCACACATGCCGCTCACCACCAAGCTCACGCAACGCCTCGGCATCCAGCACCCAATCATTCAAGGTGGCATGCACTATGTGGGCTACGCGCCCCTCGCGGCCGCCGTGTCTAATGCCGGCGCCATCGGTGTCATTACGGCGTTGACGCAGCCGAATGCCGAGGCGTTGAGGAGCGAGATTCAGAAGACGCGCTCGCTGCTTCGATCACCCGACACGCCGATCGGAGTGAACCTGACTGTACTGCCACAGCTCAACTCGCCCGACTACCCGGCAATCGTCCAGGTGCTGCTCGACGAGAAGGTGGCACGTCGTAGCCAAAGTCAGAGCGGCAGCACTCATCTCCTCCACGTGCCCACTCCTCTCGCCCGCTCGCGCAGGTGCCGATGGTCGAGACTGCGGGATCGCCAAAGTGCGCCGAGCTGTGGGAGCTGCTCAAGGCGAGAGCGGACTCCACACTCTGACCCGGACCCGGAAGATGTTTCTGTCCCTGGCCCTGCCCCGACCCTGACCCTGGCCCTGCTGCTCGAGGCGGGCAATCCAGACGTGTGCATCATCCACAAGTGCACCACCATTCGCCACGCGCTCAAGGCGCAGGCGACGGGCTGCGGCATGATCTCGCTGGGCGGACCTCTCCTAGACCTTTCCTAGACCTTTCCTGGACTCTTCCTGCAGGCGATGGGCTGCGACATGATCTCGCTGGACGGGTTCGACTGCGCCGGCCACCCAGGCGAGACAGACGTCGGCAACTTCCTCCTGCAGCCGATCGCCGCGCGCAAGCGCTCCCTTCTCCGCGTGACCAGCCGCGTCCACGACACGTGTCCGATCGACATGTCCTGGAGATGTCCCGTAGGCTCTCGGTCCCGTATGTGACGAGCGGCGGTGTGGGGGACGGCAAGCAGCTGGCGGCCTGCCTCGCAATGGGCGCCGTGAGGGTCAACCGGCCGGCCGTATTTCTTTTCCCCCCGAGTGGGGAGAGCTTTGTTTTTCAGGTGCGGAGGGTGTCAACCTCGGCACGCGCTTCATGGCGACGGCCGAGGCGCCAATCCACGACAACATCAAGAAGGCGCTGGTGGCGGGAGACGAGAACTCGACGCAGCTCGTGATGCGCAGCCTGAAGAACACGGAGCGCGTGTACAAGAACGCGGCGTCGGACGAGGTGCGGCGCACCGAGGCTCCCTCGGCGCCTACAAATGAGAGAACCCGGCGTGCTTCTTTTTCGTAGGTGCTGCGCATCGAGGCGGAGCACCCGGGGCAGATCGACAAGATCTACCACATTGTCAAGGGCGAAAACTACCGCGCAAGCTTCCAGGAGACGGGCGACGCGCAGTCCTCGGTGTGGTCGTGCGGGCCGGTCATGGGCCTGATCGAGTCGGTGCCGACGTGCGACGAGCTCGTGCGCGGGATGGTGAGCGAAGCCGAGGCCGTCATCCAGGGGAGGCTCGCGGAGATGTGCCGATAGCAGACTCTTTTGACCGGGGGCGTCCGCGTGGCTGGTTTTATTTATTGCTGGCACGTAAAAAATGTTTTCATAACATCGAAGGCTAAGCTTAAAAAATCCTTTCCTTTCGTGTCGGGGTATGGAATCGTGCGTCGAGTTTCCCGCAGCGCGCTGCCTTAACTGTGCATTTCTTTCAGTGTTGCGGTAAATTCTTTTTTTGGAGCCCATCCGCCGTCGGCTCTTGACACGCTGACTGACGGCGTGCCCCGTTTGTGCCGCGTCCTGCCCCCGAGTTCATTTTACCAAACACGCTGGCCCCATTCGCCTGATGCGCTGCGTTGCGTCGATTCTCCTGCTCAGCGCCCTAATTTCGGCAGACGAGGAGCACGACGACCCGAACGCTCACTTTGCCGGTGAGGGCGAGTGGACCACGAGGGTTCGCGTCCCAGACCGAGGCTGGACGCTCGCCGATAAGTCAGAGACGGAGGAGGCGGGCCGGTGGATACTCCAGCGAGTTTGCAAAAACACGAATTTTGAGGGGAAGAGGGTGATTTCGCTCCTCGAGCTCGCGACCTCGAAGGGCGTCTCGATTGCGCGCGAGACCGCGTACGTGAGCGGCATTGGCGTCGGCGTGAGCGCTCTGCACTGCGCCGCCTTCAACGGTCGTGCCGATTTTGTGGAGTCGCTGCTCGCGGCCGGAGCGGATGTGGCCGGGCGAGTGGCGACGCACAGCAATGGCGCCGCCTTGATCACGCCGCTGCACCTCATAGTCCAAGAGGCGCTTCGCATCGCCCACGCAGGTCTCGGCCGGAAGTCAACAAAGGTTGAGGGTCTGCGCGACTCGGCGCGCCTGCTGCTGGCTCAAGAGAGCATGGTGGAAGTAGATCACGCACGGCGGCTTGCAGAGGAGGGATGGGACGCATTTGTCCTCCGCTTGGACGATGTCAACGACGCCGAGCCGGACAACGACAGCCGGCACAACGGCACGCAACTTGGCACAAAGGAGGAGCTCTAGGGCCGTAGGTAGCTGGGCAACGCACCTGTTCAAGAGGCTAACGCACACGGGACAGGGCCCCGCGGCGTGACAGATCTGGAGAGAGAGAGAGAGAGAGAGAGATCTGCGATTCTGTTGTAGGCAGCGTAGCACTTAAGCGTCTATAATGAAACGTGGGCCAAAACAAACAAGAAAACACCGCGCGAGGTCCGCGCGGGCCCGCGCACGTCATGCGGCACAATCTTTGTGCTTTCACGACATCCAGTTCCCCATGCACGGCAACCACTTGCGCACGCAATGACCGCGGTAGAAGAGACAGCCGCCGCACAGCGGGCGAGCCCTCTGCAGCCGGGGCGACTGCGCGTCGCAATCAAGCGTGCAGAGCTTGCCCTCGCAGCAACCGCCATGCTTGCCCGGCTGCACCAGCACACGGCTCCTTCTGCTCAGCTGCGCCCGCTTAGCCAACGGCCAGTCGGTCCAATGCGTCCCTATTCGGCGGCATCTCACGCTTGAGGGTCGGCAGAGTCATCCGCGCCAAGGTGGCCCCCCGTGGGCAGGTGTTGCGAGGTGTACTTCGCGCCTGGCTCGGTGATGAGGAGGGGCGCGGCGACCGCCTGCGGTAGAAGGGCAAGGGTGGATATCTCCATAGGCAAGGTGTGGTGGCAACGGCGGCGCTAGCCCCGAAACCTTACACCCTCGCTGGAATATGCGTGCAATGCTCTTCAAGGTAGGGTTTGGTGTGTGGCGCCTGCGCCATCTCCTCGATCTGGAAGGGCAGCGCGGAGCAGCGCGCAGAGCCACGCTGCACATGCACTTGGAGCACTTACATTCAACTCTTCTCATTTGTGTTACACCAAAAGGTGGGCTACACTTCTTATAGTTAGAGGTGCGCAGGCCGTCCCGTTTGCATGTTTGCATAAAAAACGCCCAACCTTCCTTTCTTTTTTGCACGATTTTGGTTTTTCTTTTTTGGCGGGCGTTGTAACTCTGTGTGTTCCAGCACAGCGCTGGCGCGACTCGCCGGCTCGGCTGCCTGCTGCTGCTCTATCAGTGTCTGCTGGAAGGAGGCGGAGCCAGCCGGCACAGCCTGCGATACAGCCATGACGGGCATGAGTGATCCCGCTCTTCCCTTCCTCAACGAGTCGGTTCGCGTGCCGACCCCGCGCTTCCAACCGGCAACGTTCCCCGAGTTTATCGGCTCCGTCTACACGTTATGGTGCCACTCTCACACGCGCGCACACACACGACCACGACACACAGCGAGGCTGCGTAGTAGACTCCAGCGCCACACACTGCCGCCGCCACGCCACCGCCACCAGCCACCGCATCAGGAATGTGCTCGACTCGATGATACACTCGCACAGCGGGGTGGGCTGGCCACTCTACCCGTACGGCTACATGCGCAAGGTGCAGCTCTTCGCCTACTCGGAACTCGTCTGGCGGAACCCGTCGGCGAGGACATACTGCGAGACGGGTGTCAACGGCGGGCACGGCACGGCGGCCATGCTGACCGCGAGCCCGACCCTGGTGGCGCACTCCTTCGACGAGGCGCGGCAGCCGTACTCAAACGACGTCCTCGGCCTGCTCTCCACCCTCTTCCGGGAGCGGTTCGACCTCCACCGCGGCACGCGCTGCTGCCCGCCTAATTAATAACTACTCCGACTTGACTATGTTTAATGAATAACAGGCGACTCGCACGCGCTGCTGCCCGCCTGGTCGCCGCCCGCAAAGTGCGACATCATCCTCGTGGACGGCGACCACTCCGACCGCGGAGCGTACCAGGACATCGTCGACTTTCAGCGCCATGCCTCCTGCGGCGCGACGCTGTTGCTCGACGACGTGAAAGGCAGCGGCAAAGGGCTAAACGACGGGCCAACCGCCGCGCTGCTGCGGGCCCAGAGGGTCGGACTGGTCGAGATTCTGCGCTGGGAGAGGTACAACGCCTCCTCGCCCGAGAACCCGTGCTTGCGCGCCAAGCGCGGCGGCGCCCCTTTCTGCGTCGGCAGCTGGGGATGGGCGATGGCACGGTACAGGCAAGGCCGCTGCGGTGGCGGAGCGGAGGGGGCGGAGGGGGTGGAGGGAGGCGGCGGCAAGGCGGCGCGGAGGGCGGCAAGGGGAGCGAGCCGCCACGGACTGGGCTCCCCGGGCGCACGCTGAACAGGCGAGGGGGGGGGGGGGGGAACTTGCGTGCCGCGCCATGCGCGGGTGAGCCTCAACAGGCATGTTGCCCTGAGGCCCAGTTTCTCACCGACAGTGCGCGGCGTCTTCGTCTTTGCGTGCTCCTCGCAGGTGTGGTGCGCGCCGCCGGTCGTGCCGCGACGTTCCACGCGTCCAAAACTTTTCTCAGAATTTTACAACAAAAGGCGGGTCGCACACGCACCTCGCACGATTCACACAGCCTTTTTTTGTTTTAGTGTTTTCCCCTATTATTTATGAAGAGCATCTGGGACCCGGGTACAAGTAGATTGCCTAGACCCTCTCCCGCCCCCCCCTTCTCCCCTCCCTTAGGCTAGGCGCCAGAGTCAGGCCGCGAGCGCCGCGCAGACCGCAAACAGCGCCGCCCCCGCTGGCACCTCGACGACCCCTCCCGCGCCGCCCTCGCCGGCGCAGAAACTGGGCGGCGTACCGTCCGATGCCACCGCCGCCTCCTCGCCTAGCCTCGGCCAGTCTCGGGTGATCTCGGCTAATCTCGGCCGTCCGCCGCCGCCGCCGCAATCCTCGCCGTTGACGCTGACTGTGGTCGCCGCCGCCGACGCCGCATCGAGCAGCCACGTCTCGAGGACCTCGCAAGGGGCGCCTGCGACACAGAAGCAGCGGCGAGCGTGAAGAGGCGCCGCCCAAGCGCGCCAGCGTCCCGCTGACGGCGCTGCCACCCTCCCCTCCGACTGCTCGATCGCCGCCGCCGCTGCCCTCGCCGGCAAGGCCTCCTCCTCCTCCGCCGCCGCCTCCTCCGCCTCCTCCTCCTCCTCCGCCGCGCCCTCCGACGCAGAGGCGGAGAGAGTGCGGTTCGCCCCCCAAGTTGAGGAGCAGAAAGGCGCGGCGGCGCGGCTCGGACGGCGCGGCGCGGGCGGAGTGGCAGTACGCGCCTACAGGCCCTCGCGCAATCTCGGGTGGTCTCGGGAGATTGCAATCTCGTGCCGAGCGGCGGCAGCGCGCGGAGCGAGCGCGGCGCGGTTGGCGGTAGCGCGACGGCGAAAGCGGTGCCGCCCATCAGCCGCCGCCAGAGCAGGCTCGCCTGTTCACTCATGACTGCTCACTCAGAACCATTCACTCTTAACTCCCCGCCGCCAGAGCAGGCTCGCCCAGTAGTCTGGCGTCGGCTGCAGTGTCTCCTCGGAGAGCAGACCGTAGTCGGAGCCGGCAAGCGCCTGACCTCGGCGCAATCTCGGGTGATCTCGGGTGGACTCGGGTGGTCTCGGGTGGTCTAGGCGCGATCTCGGGTGATCTCGGGGTGATCTCGGGGTGATCTCGGGGTGATCTCGGGGTGATCTCGGATGATCAGAGAGGGAGAAGCGGAGAAAGAAAGGCAGGCCGGCAGGGAGGAAGAGAGGAAGAGAGGAAGGGGGGAAGGGAGGAAGGAAGGGAGGAAGGGAGGGGAGGGGGCAGATAACACAGGCAAGCAGGGCGACGCAGGTAGGCAGGGAGGGGACAGGCAAGCAAGCGGGCAAGCAAGCGGGCTCATCTCTGCCAGTCTCGCCTACGTGCAGCACCTCGTGCTCCTCGAGGCTGATCTCGGCTCATCTCAGGCTGATCTCGGCTGATCTCGGCTCATCTCGCCTGCCGGCACTGCACCTCGGTCCCCTCGAGGGCGAGCCCGCCTAAAAGAAAGCAACGCCACCCCACGCTCGTCCGTCGACGCACTCGCGCAGCGGCCGCAGCACCACGCGGCATGGCAGAGGGCCGAGCTGGTCGAGCCACCAGAGAGTCGCCTGGTCGCAGCCAGAGGTGTGAAGAGGCGCTGTTCACAGCGGCGGTCGAGCCGCCAACAACCACACACACACACAGAGCCGCCTCCCAAGACCCAGACACGCCCGGCTGCCCCCCGACCTGCGCAGACCCAGTCTCGCCCAGCCAGCACGACGGGGAGCACGCCGCCGCCGTCGCCGCCGCCGTCGCCGCCGGGCGGGCGGCGGCGGCGGCGGCGCGCGCCTTGCATAAGCGAGAGCGACAGAGGGGCCGAGATGCAGCCGAGCTACAGCCGAGATGCAGCCGAGATGCAGCCGAGATGCAGCCGAGAGGAGCCGAGATGCAGCCGAGCTACAGCCGAGAGGAGCCGAGAGGCAGCCGAGCAGCAGCCGAGAGGAGCCGAGATGCGGTCTGCGCGCGCCTCGCCCAGCGATGCCGCCGCCCCCCTCACCCCCCTCGCCAGCTGCCGGCTCACGTCGAGGACGTCCGGGGAGCGGAGCGTGCCCCGCCGCACGGGCACAACCAGCCTGCAGGATTACTATTATTATTATTATTACTATTATTATTATTACTATTACTATTATTATTATTATTGTTATGCCCCGCCGCACGGGCACAACCAGCCTGCAGGATTACTATTATTATTATTATTACTATTATTATTATTACTATTACTATTATTATTATTATTGTTATGCCCCGCCGCACGGGCACAACCAGCCTGCAGGATTACTATTATTATTATTATTACTATTATTATTATTACTATTACTATTATTATTATTATTGTTATGCCCCGCCGCACGGGCACAACCAGCCTGCAGGATTATCATTATTATTACTATTATTATTATTACTATTACTATTATTATTATTATTGTTATGCCCCGCCGCACGGGCACAACCAGCCTGCAGGATTATCATTATTATTATTATTATACTATTACTATTATTATTATTATTGTTATGCCCCGCCGCACGGGCACAACCAGCCTGCAGGATTATCATTATCATTATTATTATTATTATTACTATTATTAGTATTGTTATGCCCCGCCGCACGGGCACAACCAGCCTGCAGGCGCCACTCCGCCGCCCTTCAGCGAACCAATCACAAGGCACAAACCAGCCTGCAGGACCTCGGCGCATCTCGGCGAATCTCGGCGAATCTCCGCCTCCAAACGGCGGCGAGCAGCGCCGACGCAGCGGCGGCAGCCGCGGCCAGCGCCGCAAACGCCGCTGCTCGCGCCGTCGCGGCCTCGGTGGCTGCTGCTGCGGCTGCGGCGGCGGCGACAGCGGCGGCGAGGGCGGCGGCGGGCGGGGTGGCGGGGTGGGCTCGGGCGAGGGGGGAGCGGTCGGAGAGGGCAGGGTAGTAGTGCCACGACAGGATGTCCGCGCGGCATGGCGAGGGAGCGCCGCCCGCCTCCGCCGCCGCCGAAGCGGCGGCGAGGCGAGGAAGGAAGGAGGAGGCGAGGCGAGGGAGGCGGCGGCGGAGGAGAGAGGGCAGAAGCAGCGTCGGCACCTCCCCAATCGCCGGCCAAAAGGCGGTGCCTGGAAGAATCAACTAGCAATTAAATACTAACTACAAGGCGGTGCCTGGGCCGGACAGCCGCGGCTAATCTCGGGTAATCTCGGGTAATCTCGGGTAATCTCGGCTAATCTCGCCACAAGGCGGTGCCTGGGCCGGACAGCCGCGGCTAATCTCGGGTTATCTCGGGTAATCTCGGGTAATCTCGGGCAATCTCGGGTAATCTCGGGTAATCTCGCCACAAGGCGGTGCCTGGGCCGGACAGCCGCGCAGCCGGCGCCTCGACGTCGCGGACGGCGGCGAGTGCGGCGAGGTCAGCGGTGTAGCTCTCTGGAGTGACGAACAGCGGCGGGGAGTGGAAGAGCGGCCACGCATTGGGCTCGTTGCCTAGCTCGTAGACCGAGATCGGGATGGAGTGCTCCTCGGCAAACCTAGTGTGTCAACCCGTGTGGTAGAATAGGACAAGAGCAGGAGTGCGGGAGGATGCAGTGCAAACCGCATCAGTTCGACGGCCTGGTCCGGGCGCCACGCACCGGCGGAGCCGTCGGGGCGCGGCGCGCTGCCGGCGCGGCTGCCCCAGCCGGCGTTGAGCGTGAGCGAGATCTCGAGCCCGGCCTCCCTCGCGAACTCTCCCATCGCAATCAGCTGCCCGCCCGTCACGACCGTGCCGTACCCGGCCGGCGCGGGAGGCGGCGGCTGCGGCCCGCGCTGCTCCAGCGCGTAGTAGACGCGGTCCGCCTCGGTGCCGCCGACGCGCAGGTAGGCCGGCGAGAGGGCGCCGCACAGCCTGCGCAGGCGCGGCCGCGAGAAGTCGAAGGGCGGCCGCTCACCGACCGTCTCGCCGGAGCCGTCCGGGTTCCAAAAGCGCGTGGGCTGCGCAATCATGCCGAGGTCGACGCAAAAGGAGAGGTAGCGCTCGTCGATGGTGCCGGCCGGAGATTTGGCGGCGGTGACGCTGGTTGGCGGCAGCCTCATCGTCGGCCTCGCCCAGTCGAAGCTGCCAACACAAGAATTTACAATGCCGCCTTGGCCGCCTCAAGAGGGAGGAGGTGGCCTTTAGTTATGTGTACGCCAACTCAGGGTGTGTGGCAGCCAGCTGGCTGTGTGTCTTGTGAGCTTGTTTGTGTCTGTGTGTCGCTCGTGCGTGTCGTCATCATCTGTCTCGCGTCCACCCATACCGCGTTGGTGTCCAGTCCGAGCCTGGCTGTTCTTCACCTTTCTACATACATACATCAAGAGAACGACACATGTGTAAGAGCGCGCACGAGTGGGTGTGCGAGCAATATCGAAAGACGGTGAGGCCGGGGTCGCACACGGCAGGTATAGGCCAAAGGGATAGCCGTAGGGGTGGGCCGAGGTTCCTTTAAAGCCTTTAGACGCTGAACCAAGCGGCTCACAGCAGCCCCACGAGTCCGGACGGGCGCCACACAACACTCAATTCACATAACAGTACCCTCAGACTCGACCACCGACCATACCGCACTACCAGAGGGTTCTGCGCAGAGACGCGCGGCGACCGAGATCCGCGATTCCGCGACTCAAAATCACCCGCGCGAGCCGCTGCCGGCCACACCTCACGACCCAGCGCTCCTGGCCCGCTTGGCTGCCTGCGCCAGCCCCTCGTGGTTCCGCTTGAGGGAGTTGTACTCGTTGCAAAGTCGCGCGTAATCGGGGCCGATGTCTGATTGCCTGGTCGGCAAGCACCCCGTCCGCGCCTGATACGCGCGCACCATCACCTTGAGCCGCTCGCCGACGCCCACGTAATGGTCGACGAGCGCCTGCGTCACCTTCCCCTCCGCCTCGACCCGAGCCCGCGCCTCCTGAGCCCGAGCGGCGGCGGCGGCCGCCTCAGCCTCGAGTCGAGAAGCGACGTCTCGGGCCGCGGCCTCCGCCGCCTCCCTCGCGCTCAGCGCCGCGACCGAGGCGTCGGCGCTATCGAGAGCGCCGCTGCCGCTGCTCGCCGCTGCCGCCAACGCCGCCCTCACCTGCTGCTCCGTCTCCTCCGCGGCGGCTGCCCCCTCCGCCTCATGCGCCGCGGCCCCATCGTCATCGTCGTCATCGCAGTCGTCGTCGCACATGTCCGCCTCCGCCGCCGCCTCCGCCGAGCTCGAGGCCTCTCCCTGCGCGGCGCTCGACGCAGCCTCGGCGCTGTCGCCGCCCGCCGCTGCCTCCTCCTCCTCTCCCTCCTCCTCCTCGCTGTCCGAGTTGTCGTCGGAGAAGTCCGAGTCCGAGCCTCCGCCGTCGCTGCCCTCGGCATCGCTCTCCGAGTCCGAGCCCGCCGCCGCCGCCGCCTTCTGCGTCGCCGCCGCCGCCGCCGCCGCCGCCGCTCGAGAGCTGGGCAGCCTCGTTGGCGCCGCCCTCGCCTTGGCCGGCTTTGGGCGCCGCGCCGCGTCGCTCTTCTCGATGAGCCTGTTCCGCCCTCGCTCGGTGATAGGCCTGCTGCGCCTGTTCGGCGGGTGCGCTCTCCGCTCGCGCTCGCGCTCGCGCTGCGCCTTCTTGCCCTCCTTCGCGCCCGCCTTCACCTTGTTGAAGCGAGAGGCCGCCACCTTGGTGCCAGGGGCGGCCAGCGGCTGCAGCACGCCGCGGCAGGTCTGCGTCGTTTGCGCAGCCTTGCGCCTCTTCCCCGTCGGGCCGCAGAAGCACGTCGCCTTGAGCGCGGCGACCTTCGCTTCGGGCAGCGCCGCCTGCGCCTTGTCGTACGCCGCGCGCTCGGCGGCGACGAGCTGCGCGACGCCCGACCCGTCCTTTGGCCGCGAGAAGAAGCGCGCATAGGCGTAGCCCAGGGCCTGCGCGAGCGCGCGCCTGACGAGCTCCTGCCGCTGCGCGAGATTGCGGTGCCCCCTGAGCGGCGTCTTCCTCGCCGCCTCAAACTGAGCGGCGGCGCGCAGCGCGCCGCCGCAGCTCGCTCGCATGCCTGCTGCCTGTAGCGCGGCCCGCTCGTCCTCCAGCTTCATGCGGAAGCGAAAGACGTGGTTGATCGTGAGCGGGTGGGCCTGAGGGTGCCGCTTAACGAGCAGCGTGAGCACAGAGACGGTCGACTCGAGGTAGAGGTTGGTCGCGAGGCCGATGAAGAGCCGCTTGGTCATCTCGGTGAAGAGGAGCGGCGTGGCGCTCTCCGAGAACGTCTTCTCGCCCGTCGCGATCGTCAGCAGCTCGCCAATCACGGCCGGACGGGTCAGCCCCCACGCCGCCGCCTCTGCTGCCAGCTCGCCATCCGCCTCTCGCTCGAGCAGCTTTGCGCGGAGCAGCTCGCCGACGGCGTCGCGCGCCTGCGGCGTCGGCCCTGCGCCGCGTGCCGAAGCCAGCGCCGCCCCCTCGCCGAGCTGCTCGAGCACCCATCCGGCGGTGAGCTGGCCGTAGGAGGAGGAGGTGAGCGCGCCGAGAAGGTGCCGCGCGTGCGTCCAGGTCGTGCCGTTCCACTTGATGTGCTGCTCGCGCATCACCTCGATGCACTTGATGGCGCGCTTGATGAGGTCCTTGCGCTTGGTGTCGGTCATCACCTCGGCGAAGCCGCGCCGGTGGCTGCTCTCAATGAACTTGAAGAAGCTCGGCAGCGCCTTCTTCGGATCCTTCACCGCCGCGTCGTAGTAGGCGAGGTCGCCCAGCGAGTGCACCGCCATCTCGTGCCGTATGTGGCCGTGCTTGAAGCCGCCAAACTCGGAGGGCGAACGCATCGCCTTGTGGAAGGACGCAAAGTTCTCCTCCCACAGGTCGACGAGCATGAACATCGCCGCCACAAAGTCTCGCTCGCCGACGGCGCCCGCGATGATCTCGATCTTGTCGCGGCAGCCGTGCTGGCCGGCCTTCTGCGGCATCGCCGTGTCGACGGTGCCGCGGAGGAGAGAGAGGCAGCGGTTGAGGAAGTCCTCGATCATCCAGCCGCCGACGAGGACCGCCGGGTGCTTCACGCAGAGCATGGTGAGGCGGCGGCACACCTCGTAGAGGATCTGCCATTTGGACTCGGTCGGCTCGGGCAGGCTGCCCAGGCAGAGGTCGTAGACCTTGCCCGGCAGGCCGCACTCGGCCGTCCAGATCCGACGGAAGAGCGCGCTGTTGCCGCCGCGCACCGAGAAGCACTCCCAAACTAGCCGCGTCAGCTCGCAGAGGTACGTGCCCGGGTACCCCGCCTCGAGCCCGTGCTTCTCCTCGAGCGCCTTGCCGTGGATCGCGCACGTCTCCTTGACGGCACTCTGCACCGGAGCACCGACGGGCGCGCCCTCGCGGCAGCTGTTGATGGTCCGCTGCATCTCGCCGTTCTCGCCAGCGACCGGCTCGGCGCCGTCCGACAGCGTCTGCACAAGGCCGCGTGGCGCGAAGCCGCGCCGGTCAATCTCGGCCATGATGACGGCGCTCCCGTTCCTCGCTGACTGGTCGCCCGAGAGGGCGGCAGCCGAGCCAACCACGAGGATCGGCTTGCCGTTCTCCCACATCGAGAACATGATCATCTGCTTCTCGCCGCCCTCCTTGTTGCCAGCGTCCGCCGCGATGGCGTAGTGGATGCCCGGCGCCGCCTGGCGCGCCTGCCTCTCTAGAAAGTCATCGAGGCAGCCGAGCCGCAAGTACGCATTCTTGACGTTCGTCGCGTTGATCTGCATGCCGGCGGTGACCTCGGAGCGCGTGTGCATCGCGATGATGAGGTCGTTCGCCATCGCCGCGGCCTCGAAGGTCATGTTGCAGCACTCGCACAGCCGCCTCATCATGTCCTGCACGTACGGATCGAGGCGATAGCCGTCCGACTTGAGCTTCTTGAACGAGACCGTGTACTCTGTCCCGCCGCCGCGGCCGGCCGCCTCGCGCTTGCCCCGCCCGCGGTGGGAGGCGAGCTCCTGCTCAAGCGTCTCAATACGGGCGAGAGCGTCCTGCAGCTTCGCCTCCAGCGACCGCGCGCCCTCGCGCGACGCGAGGCTCGGCGGCTCGGCCGCCTTGCTCCACGGTTGCGTCAACCTCGACGTCGCTGTCGCCCTCCCCGTCCCCGTCCCCGTCGCCTGTCACTGCCAAGCGTCGGTAGGGTGCCCACAGGGCCAAAAAAAGAAAGGAAAAAAGAAACGGGGCAACCCCGATCGCAGCACGTCGTGTTGGCCAGTCGAGAAATTGAGATTGTGACTAGGAGGGGTGTGCCAGCACAGTTGGGCGCGCGCGGCGCGACGGCGCCCGCGAGGGAAGGCGCGGGTGCAGCGGCCGCCGGCGGCCGTACCGCCCGCCAGCCGGCGCAGCAGCGGCCAGCGCAGCGGCCGCCGGCGCAGCAGCCAGAGCAGCCGGTGCGCGCCTTGCGAGGCGAGTACTGCCGCCCGGCAGCCTTGAGGCGGCCGGGCGGCAGTACTCGTTCGAACTTTGCGAGCCGTGCGCGCGCCGAGGCGCCCGCGGCGCGCGCCCGCCCGGCTGCCAGTAGGAGGCGGCGCAATATGGCCTATAGTACAGCCCTTGAGGAGGAGGAAGAGGCTGGCTGGCAGTGCTGTATGCCGCCGTGGGGCAGTTTTTGGGTGCTGTCCCCATCCCAGGGGGCTGCAGAAGGCGTCCGCAGCCGGGACAACCCGCCCCCCCAGCCGAGGCCGGTCGAAGCCCACTTGGGCACAGCCATGAGGAGTCCTCTTGGTGCTCCTGGCGGCCGTTGGAATGACGAGCAAATACGAGTAAATGTGTGTCAAATTGACACTCAGATTTCAGCAGAAGTTTTGATATATTGGAAACGGTCAAATAAAAAAGGTCTGTGAAAAAATTTCGCTGCCAGGGCTGCCTCGCCTGCTTGAGCAGCGCGCCTAAGTCGGTGGTGGGCTTGCAGAGCGGGTTGCCGTCACACAGCACGAAGCGCAGGTCGCGCGAGCGCTCGATCGACAATCGCCTGGGCGCACCGGTACAGCCGCGGTAGACAACAAGAAGACTTCGAGGTACAGCCCGTCCCGGGGGGGGGGGGGTCCTGGCCCGTCAGCAAGCGGCTAGGTCCCCCCCCCCCCCCTGGAGGGCGGTAGACGATCGGCGCGTGGAGCCGCGGCTGGAACGGCCGCACGGTCAAGCCGGAACCCTCCTCCACCCTCCGAACCCTCCACCCTGTGGTGGCCGCCCGCTTTGGCGCACGAGTTGCGCGGCACCGCCGGTCACGCTCGGCGCAAAGAGGAGTGGCCGCTCGCTTTGGCCTCAGACAAGCCCGCGACCGAGTTCCGCACGTGAATCGTGACGGCGACAGACACCACGACTTAGACGACTTGGTTGTCCGCTCAGCATGCCAGCCACCAGCCCGCTCATACCGTGCTCCCAGCTCCCTCGCACCGCCGGCTATGACTCGTGCCTCGACTTTGCGACCACTGGCCTCGGCGCCTGCGACAGCCTCAACATGAGCGCAATGGCGGCGTCCGGAGACGACGTCTTCAACTGCGGCTGCGTCGCGCTGGTCGGCAGCGGCCCCGCGCAGGCGATGGCGGTGGCCGAGATTGACCGCTGGGAGCGGAGGCAGGCGGTCGTGCAGTTCAGCCTCGCCGCCCTCTCCTGCGTGTGCGGGACAGCCTACCTGGTCGCGGCAGCCTCGTCGAGGGCCAAGCGGCTGCGGCGCTTCCCGGCGAGCCTTGCATACTGCATGCACCTCTCAGACCTGGTCAAGTCAGTGCCGCTCTGCCTCGTCGCCGCGCTCCGCTTGCTGCACGACACGGGCGCGGGACACGTCCACGACACGGGCGCGGGAGACGTCCATGACGAAGCGGCGGGTAGTGAGCCGCTGGCGTGGGTTCACACCTCGTCTGCGGAATGCCTCTGCGATGCGGCCAACGCCCACCCGGGCTGCGCTTGCCGCTGGGGGCTGCTTGCCTTTCTGCTGCAGGCGAGGGGGAGAGGGGCCGACACGTGATCTAGCAGCTACCCTCTCCACACTCATACTGCACCTGTCCTCCTCTCCCTCTCCGGAGCCTGGCCTCGTCTATCTCCCCACATCTCCCCACACCTCCCCACATCTCCCTCTCCGGAGCCTGGCCTCGTCTATCTCCCCACATCTCCCCACACCTCCCCACATCTCCCTCTCCGGAGCCTGGCCTCGTCTATCTCCCCACATCTCCCTCTCCGGAGCCTCTGGCCTCGTCTATCTCCCCACATCTCCCCACATCTCCCCACATCTCCCTCTCCGCAGGCCGGCCTCGTCTATCTCCCCACATCTCCCCACACCTCCCCACATCTCCCTCTCCGGAGCCTGGCCTCGTCTATCTCCCCACATCTCCCTCTCCGGAGCCTCTGGCCTCGTCTATCTCCCCACATCTCCCCACATCTCCCCACATCTCCCTCTCCGCAGGCCGGCCTCGTCTATCTCCCCACATCTCCCCACATCTCCCCACATCTCCCTCTCCGCAGGCCGGCCTCGTCTATCTCCCCACACCTCCCCACATCTCCCTCTCCGCAGGCCGGCCTCGTCTGTCTCCCCACATCTCCCCACATCTCCCCACATCTCCCTCTCCGCAGGCCGGCCTCGTCGGCTCCGTCTCCTACTACCTCGCCCTCGCTCACAACTTCCACCGCACCGTCGCCGACCCCTTCACCCGCCCCGCGTCGCGCGCGCTGAGGTACCACGCCGCCTGCTGCTGCGCGGTGCTGCTCCTCTCCGCAACCTACCTGGCTCCCCCAGAGGCGGGAGAGGCTTTCGGCCACGGCTTCCGCGCCGCCTTCCTCGCCTGCTGGTTCCCGCGCCGGAGAGGCGCCTCGCTCATCAACAACTGGCAGGCGCTATCTCCCCACATCTCCCCACATCTCCCCACATCTCCCCACATCTCCCCATATCTCCCCACATCTCCCCACATCTCCCCACATCTCCCCACATCTCCCCACATCTCCCCACATCTCCCCACATCTCCCCACATCTCCCGCAGGCGCTGCTGACGGTCTCGCTGCCCATCGGAGGCACGTGGCTGATGGCGCTCGCTCTGTATGTCCGCTCCTTCGGCCTGCTTCGGCAGGGAGCATCGCTGCGGGCGCTGCTCGGCGACGCGCGGTTCGCACAGCTGCGGCAGGGCGGGGCGGTGGTGCGCGTCTTCTTCCTCTACTGGGTCGTCACGGCGACGCTCTTCGTCGCAAGCTGGCTGCTCGCCGGCGCGCCGTGGCGGCCGCAGAGCGAGTGCGATTTCGAGTCTCTCACACTGCGGTCCCACTTTGGCGGCGGGGCCGAGGGAGCGTCCTCGATGTGCGGCGTGGCGGCGGCGCTGCAGGCCGCCTTCTCGTCGATGATGTGCGCGGGGGGGGCGATCAACTCGTTGGCTGGCTTCTGGGCGTGGAGGAAGGCGGCGGTGGCGCGGCGGCAGTCGTCTCTGCGGCGCGAGGCGGAAGGAGGCGACCACTCCGACCTCTCCGCCACTCTCCGCGCCGAGATCATCCACGAGACGATGAGAGGCCTCCGCGCCACAACTTTGCGCGCGGAGAGAGGCGCCGTCTTCTTCCCCGCCGCATGCGCCTCTGACTCTTCCGCCGCTGCCGCTGGCTTCGCCGCCGCCGACCTCGCCGCCTCCGCCTCCGACGCTCCCGCCTCCGCCTCCGCCTCCGCCTCCGCCTCCGCCTCCGCCTCCGCCTCCGCCTCCGCCTCCGCCTCCGCCTCCGCCTCCCTCTCGCCGTCTGAGGACAGCTGCGACCGCGGCGACACGGCCCTCCTCCGCGTCCGGCCTCGAGGCGGTCGCCTCTCCTCCTCCACCTCCTCGCTGCCAGACACGAGGGGGAGGGAGGGACAGCTGAGGGGGAGGGAGGGACAGCCGGGGGGGAGGGAGGCGGCGGGCGAGCGGCCAGCCGTGCCGCGGGTCCCCTCCTCCTCGCTGCCGCCCTCGCCTCGCGGGTCCACGCTGCTGCTCCCCGCCGCGCCACCCGCCGCGCCAGCCGGCGAGGCTATCCGGCTGCTCGTCGCCGCGCGCCGCGCTGTCGGCCGAGCAAAGGCTGGCTGGGCGGCGCCACACTTTGCGGGCGCTGGCAGTGGCGCCGCGAAGGCGAGGGCGGGCGGGGCGGCGACGGGCGCGCGGGCGCGAGGAGAGTCGTGGGCGCCGCTCGCGGAGTGGCAGGTGTGCGAGGCGGACGAGGAGACAGGGGGAGATAGGGGGAGATAGGGGGAGATGTGGGAGATGGATTGGCAGGTGTGCGAGGCGGACGAGGAGACAGGGGGAGATAGGGGGAGATAGGGGGAGATGTGGGAGATGGATTGGCAGGTGTGCGAGGCGGACGAGGAGACAGGGGGAGATAGGGGGAGATAGGGGGAGATGTGGGGAGATGGATTGGCAGGTGTGCGAGGTGGACGAGGTCGAGCTGCCGCCCGACAGCGGGGCCGCCGAGCCCGCGGCCGCGGATCGCTGGCTCGGGAGGTACACCGGCGGCCCGCTTTAATTAATTTAATTAATTTAATTAATTAACTTGATTTCGCTGGCTCGGGAGGTACAGCGGCGGCCCGCGAGGCCGAGTCACCTTCCGCGAGTACGCGCCGCGGACCATGCAGTGGCTGCGCTCGCGCGTCTTCGGTGTCGAGGCAGAGGCTCTCGGGTCGTATCTCCTCAGATCTCCCCCAGATCTCCCCCATCTCCCCCGTAGGTGTCGAGGCAGAGGCGTACGCGACGGCGATGGCGGGGTCGCTCGAGGGCGGCGTCGAGCTGTCGCTCGCGCGCAGCTTCTCCGAGGGGCGCGGCGGAGGCTTCTTCTTCTTCTCGGCCGACGGCCGCTACTTGGCCAAGTCGATGACGCGCGCAGAGCACCACGCGCTGCTGCAGCTGCTGCCGCAGTACTGCCGCCACATGCAGAGCCAGCCTCGCTCGCTGCTCTCCCGCCTCTCGGGATGCTACTCGATCACCATGTACGGGCAGACAAAGTTCTTCCACGTGCGGCCGGGCCCCCGCCTTAGTCGAGCCCCCGCCTTAGTCGAGCCCTCGCCGGCCCTGCTCCTGCGACAGCGGCGTACGGGCGCCCCCTCGGCCTCTCCTCGCGCGCAGGTGCTGAGCAACGTGTTCGCCGACCTGCCTCACATGCACGAGAGGTTCGACCTCAAGGGCTCTCGGGTCGTATCTCCCCAGATCTCCCCAGATCTCCCCCATATCTCCCGTAGGTTCGACCTCAAGGGCTCTTGGGTCGACCGCCACGCGACGCCAGGCGAGCGAGGGAGAGCGAGAGAGCAGAGAGAGAGAGGGAGAGACGCGAGCGGCGAGGGAGAGGCGCGCGGGGGGGGGGGGGGGGGGCTAAGAACGGTTGGACCATGACTCTGTGTCGCGGCACTCGGACCACGGCTCGCAGGCGAAAAAACCCCCAAGGACTCGGACTGGCCCGCCTCGCGGCTGCTGCGGCTCGAGCCGCAAGCAAAGGCGGCCCTGCTGCGGCAGGGGTGTTGCTCTCCTCTTCCACGCCACGCCTCGCCGCACCCAGCCCCGCCAGCCCTTTGCCACCTTGAAAGGAGAAAAACCCTTCCCGGCGGACCCTTCCGCTTTCGTTTTCGAAGGGGGGCCCCGAACTTTGTTTTCTCGCCTCCTGGCGGGTGATGGACTACTCTTTGCTGGTGACCATGGTCCAGGGACCCGTTTCATGACACGTTCGGAGACATTGTCCCTGTGGGTGGATGGGACTCCTTCGTTGCTGTTCGGGCGGGCCAAGGTTGTCGAACGGCGACTCTTCGCCTCCCCCTCGCCCTCGCCCTCGCCCTCCCCCTCGCCCGCCGCAACCGCCACCGACGGCGCCGCCGCTTGGGACGCCGCCGCGCTGAGAGCCGCTGCAGCGGGCAGCGGCCGCGCCAGCCTCGGAGCTGCACGCCCAGCTGCCCCGCCACCGGCGTCGCCTGCCTCGGCCGACTCGCTGCAGCCGCTGGTGGCGGCGACTCCGCTCTCGCCGCCGCCCGACGCTTCGCCGCCCGGCATCGGCCCCGCTCTCTCTCTCCTCCCCGAGCAGACGGGGCCGTCCGCCTTCACGGCCGCCACCTTTGAGGGCCCTGGCCTGTACGCGCTCGGCATGATCGACCTGCTGACGAGGTGGACGCTTGCCAAGCGGCTCGAGCGGTGGTGCAAGGTGCTGCTGCGCTGCCGCTGCGCCGCCGACGTGCGGGGCGGGATGAGCGCCGTCGAGCCGGGCGAGTACGCGAGGCGCTTCCACCGGATGGTGGGGGGCAAGCTGCTCGGGCTGCCGCCAGAGGCGGTGGAGGCGGACTGGGAGGCGGGGGCGCGGGAGGGGCGGGGAGGCGGTACGTGCACAGCCGCTGGCCCGCTCAGCGAAGACGTGTAGTTACGTAGTTAGCGAGGCTCTCCTGCTCGGCTCCAGCGAGTACGAGTAGACAAGTTGAGGGCGAGCCCTGTGACAGCTGCACACAGTCACAGAGTAGGCTGGCAGAGAGTGGTGTGAAAAGAGGATGAGCATGTCGCATACCCCAGACGCTCACACCCCGCCCGTCGCGCCTGCTGGGTTTCCTGCGGCAAACCAGCGCGATCTGGGGCGGGGCTACAACCTAGCTTGTAGCTACAAGCGTCTGCGGCACCCGGTCTGGGGTGGGGCTTCCGATTGCGCTCGCGGGGGCCGGGGCTGCCGGCCGAGGGACGGGGCGGGCCTCGTGCTGATGGACCCAGCCGAGGTGCCCGACCAGTCGGAGCCGCGCCGACGCCGCGCCGCGCGCGACCACCAGCCAGCTTTTCGGCCGGGCGGAGAACGGCGCGTCGAGAAAGCTGACACTCAAAACACGTCAGCAGCCGCTTTTTTTGCCTCTTTTTGGAGCGCTGGTGCTGCTGCACACCCAGCCCACCAGTGATACTAGAAGCACCAGATCCACCCCGGAGCGTGCTTGACCGCCACCCCGGTGACTGCCTACAGGTGGCTATTCGCGCGCGCCGCTCATCGCCGCTCTATACGCCTGGTCCCCAGAGGGCTCCTGCGGCTCTCTCTCGTCGCGTGACCGCCGCCGACAGCATCTGCTCGGTCTTGCCCGCCAGCGCGGAGCTGCGACACGTCGAATCATTCGGTGGCTCGACCGCCGGCGCGCCCACCCTCGCCTCCAGCGCGCCGCACGCACAGCAGCAAGTGGGCGCACGACCACCTCCCTCTCAATATCACGGTTCACGCTCTGACCGATGCGCAGCCCGTTCGTTCTCGCCGAGAAGGCGCTCGGAACGCCCAATTTGGCCTCGCGCGGCCATCAGACAGGCGTGTGGCTTTGACAGATAGATAGATAGGTAGATGTGAGCCGGGTGGACTGCGAAAAAGCACGGGATCACGCAAAGTTCTTTCTCTCACCGACACTGCTCCACCTCGATGCCCCCCTCTCTCTCTACATCAGGAACGCGACAGCAAAGGACCGCGCCGTCGCCATCGGCGCCACCACCTCCCACGCATCCAAGGCCGGGTCGTACCGCTCCACCGAGCTGAGGCCGCCGCTGCTGTACCCGCCCACAGCGTACAACTTGCCGTCGAGCACCACTACACCAACAGTAGCCCGCGCCGCCGCCATCGGCGCCACCGCCTCCCACGCGTTCAACGCCGGGTCGTACCGCTCGACCGAGCTGAGGGCGCCGGCGCCGTAGCCTCCAACAGCGTACAGGTTGCCGTCGAGCACCGCCACGGTGGGAGCTGCCCGCGCCGTCGCCATCGGCGCCACCGCCTCCCACGAATTGGCAGCCGGATCGTACCGCTCGACCGAGCTGAGGCGGCCGCCGCCGTCGCTGTAGCCGCCAACAGCGTACAGCTTGCCGCCGAGCACCGCCACGCCATGTTCGCCCCGCTCCGTCGCCATCGGCGCCACCGCCTCCCACGCATTGGCAGCCGGATCGTACCGCTCCACCGAGCTGAGGCGGCCGTCGTCGTCGTCGCTGTAGCCGCCAACAGCATAGACCTTGCCGTCGAGCACCGCCACGTCGTGGTTCTCGTGTGGTGTCACCATTGGCGCCACCTCCTCCCACGCTTTCGTAGCCAAGTCGTACCGCTCCACCATTGGAAGTTGCTTCGCCGGCCTCATGGCCGCCCACCGCGTAGAGCTTGCCATCGAGCACCGCCGTGCAGACATACGTGCGTGCCGAAGGCATCGGCGCCACAGCCTCCTCCTCCCACTCATTCGTTGACGGGTCGTACCGCTCCAGCGAGCTGATGACGCGTCCAGCGTTGTCGTGGCCGCCGAACACGAGCAGGCGCGGCCTCTCGCGCTTCTTCAGCGTCTCCTTCCAGCCGCGGCGCCACGCGCGGCACGTCCCCTTGGCGGCGTGCTCCGTGGTCGGCAGCTGGGCGAGGATGTGCGGGGCGAGGTCCGGCGAGAGGAGGACCTCGGAGAGCACCCACTCGGGCTGCTCCACGAGCCGTGCGGCGTGCTCCTCCGCCACGCGCATTGCGGCGGCGCTCCAGAGAGGCGCCTGCTCGTCGATGAAGGCGACGAGCTGCTCTGGCGAGAGCCCAGACAGGCGGGCGCCGATGCGGTGGGAGGCCATCGGCGCGGCGGCGGCTGGTTCAGCGTGGTGTGTACTTGTTACGTGAAAACCCGCTGGGACCCGGACGCCAGCACACACGGCTAGATTTCATGGCGGGCCGCCTAGGCCCTGGGGTCGGAGGCAGAGTCGGTGGGGGTGCCGCGCGCGGCGCGGGCTTCGCTGTCGGGGGCGTTTAGGGCGGGGTCGGGGAAGGAGGGTGGGGTCGGTCGCATTGGCGGCCGCGCGGCAGTGGCTGCGGGGGGGGCGGGAGGAGGTGGTGGCGCCGACCGCAATGGCGGCCGAGGACCCGACGTCGAGCGCCGGGCGAGATCGCGAGGGTCGAGGGTGAGCTCGAAGCCGAGGGCGGCGGCCGAGTTCTGGATGGTGAGGGCGTCGGCGGTGACGATGGCGGCGGAGATGGCGGCGGAGTGGAAGGTGTAGTGTGAGCGGGTGGACGCGCGAGAGGTGCCATACGGCGTGTGGTCAATGGACCCACTAGCGCGTGCGGTCCTCGCAAGCTGGCGGAGGACGCGATCGAGGTCGGCGGAGAATGCTCCGGTCGACTCGGTCACGAGGAGGATGACCGTGTGGCCCTTGGCGAGGGCGTCGGCATAATCGCCGTCCTTCGCTGCCACCCATCCGTCGCCGCTGACGCGGTCCAACTGCTCCTCCGTGTCCGGGTCACCCCGTTGGGGGTGGCCGAGAACGACGACGGAGAGGTGCTCCTCAGTGTTGCCAAGCGCGATGAAGTGCCCGTCGGCACGGGAGGCGGCGCCTCCGCAGCGAGCAGAGCCGTTGCCCTTTGCGCCGGAGGGGAGGAACGGAGTGTAGCACTTGAACTCCCAGCACGTGGTCGTGGAGCCAAAGCGGATCATGTCTGGGATGTGTCCCTTGTTGACGTGGGCGTAGTAGCCCCTCCGCTCAGCCTTGGAGGCGGGGGTCCCGTCGCCCTTGTCGGCCAGCTGGATCGAGCCAACTGGCAGGGCGTCGCTCGTGACGCTGGTGAGCGCACGGTGGACGGCTGCAAGTGCGGCGTTGTGGCGGTGGGAGGCGTTGGCGGAATTGAGGCAATGGTCGCCGAGGCGTTGGTGCTGGGTGACGGTAACGCCGCGCTCCTCGAGCGCGTTGTACACGTCATCGAGGGCGGTAAGGTAGAGGCCGAGGCGGTGCTGGCACGCCGAGAGGAAGGTATCGGAGGGGATGATGGAGCGAGGCACTGTGACGTCAGGCAGGCGGAGCAGCCAAGCTCCCGAGCCCACCTGCGAGTGGCTGATGAGGGAGGTGGCCTCCCGGTGCGGCACGGTGGCGCCGGCGTTTTGTGAATCGAAGGAGTCGCACGCGTCCTTGGCGACCAGCCACGCGCCGTTGTTGACGACAGCCGACAGCGAGTGCTGTGAGAGGCACGAGGAAGATGTGCCGTCGGCGTCACCCAACAGGGCGGCGAGGGGCGGAAGCTGGAAGCCGCGCTTGAGGTGCGGGGACGCAGGGGTCACACCCGACGACCTCGGGAACTAGCCGGGGCAGTCAAAGAAGGGGCAACTCCGTGCACTGACGGTCGGCCGCCAGAAAACACGCCTGCGTGGATCGCGTCACACCAATCCTCGCTACCCAAGGCGGCCAAAGGATAGCCACTTCGAGAACCTCGAGACCAAGTCTTTTTATGGCACGGCGGCTTTTTCGTTATGGAGCACCGGGGCTGTGTCCAGCTCCTCGGGCCGTCGATCGACGCGCCCGGCGCGTGGCACTCGCAGGGTGGCCAGGATCGCATCGTCAGCAGCGTGTTCGAAGGGCAGCGCGGCGGCTATTTCGTCGATCTCGCCGCTGCGTCGCCCGTGGTGCTATCCAACAGCCGCACGCTCGAGCGAGACTTCGCTTGGCGCGGGCTGTGCATAGAGGGCAATCACCGGCTGATCGCGAGCCTGATGCGCGAGCGCAACTGCTCCGTCGTGCACACGCTCATCTCGTCGCGCGCGGCCAACGTCACGTACACTGAGAATAAGTTGGGCAAGCAGGGCTTCAACCACATCTCCTCGAGGCGAGGCGCTGCGGGAGGCGCCAACGTGCACAGCGCGCTGCCGCTCGAGGCGGTGCTGCGCGCGAACGGCGCGCCGGCGGTGATGGAGTACCTGAGCCTCGACGTCGAGAATCACGAGCGCGCAGTGCTTGAGCACTTCCCCTTCGGATCATACCGCTGGCACGCGCTGAGCATCGAGACGGTGGAGCCCGCGCTCGCCGCCACGCTCGCGCGCCACGGCTACGTGCACGCACTCGACGTGTACCACCCGCTCCCCGACGGGCGCCGCAAGCTGCTCGACCATTTCTACCTGCACGAGGCCATCCCGGGAGGCGTCGACGCGGCGAGGAAGCGCGCCCGGGCGAGCAAACGGCTCTGGGACGGCGCGATGGCGCGCCGGCCGCTGAGCGGGCTGAGCGAGGAGAGCGTGTATCGCGTCAACTGCGGCGGCGTCCCCGAGGCCTTCGTCGCCAGCGGCGGCAACGATACGGCGCTTTTCTCGCCGCGCCGCGCGTGCTCGTGCAGCATCTGAGCGGCAACCTAGCGTGGAGCTGATCGAGTGAGGTCTCAGAATGGCCGGACACGCGAGCTTCACTACATGGACCCGTCCGTGCTGCCGTCGCCCGAGGCCTACGAGCTTCTCGGCTGGCTCCTGGATGGATCCTACCAGGCGCTTCCACCGTCGTGGGAGCGCCGCCGCGGCGCTGCTGACACAGCGGAGCCTGGCGAGCCGACGAGCTAGCTCCCTCGTCACACACACACACACACACACACACACACACACGCACACACACACACACACACACACACACACACACACACACACACACACACACCACTCCATACGCGAGCCCGCTCTCGCTCCGCCGCTCGTGCGCCCCGCGCGCATGTCGGCCTTCTCATGCCTCCGGCCTCCGAGCGCCCACCTCGGGCGCTCGGGCGGTTGGGGATGGCATATCGGTTCCCTGGGCGTTCACTAGCGCTCGCTTGTGGGTGAGAACGGCGTTCTCTGGGTAAGCTCAGCTGTGAACTTCCCAGTTGTTTGCTCTCCCTCCCTCCCTTACCCTGTTCATGACTTGCTAGCGGGAGGGGACCTGAGTATTAACTAAAAATACTGTAAGGGCTAGTGCCATTTCACTCTGACACGGCTAGTTCCATTGGCAACTTGGCTAGTTCCATTTCACACTGGCACAGCTCGCGTTACGCAATCTTGTTCTCGGGTCCGTTGGCCTCTTTCGTAGGGAAGAATTTTGATACCCGTCAAGACGCCTGCTGGGGGCAGCTTTGCGATGAAGCCGTTTGTTCCCCCAGCAAGGCACACACAAGACAGATAGGAGGCGAAAGGGGATGGTGGTGGGTTCGACGAGGAGAGAGGGAGCGCGCACAGACTGACGTCAGCTCTGCTCCTGAAGGACACCTCTGAAAGACACCTTCAGAGGTGTGGTGCACCTCTGAGGCACCTCAGAGGAAACGCTGCACTTCTTTTATCGATCTCGTCGCCAGACTCCGATTTCTCTTTGTCGGGCCATGTGCCGCTCGCTCGTCCGCCCAAGTGACTCGGACGCGCGGTCGAGGGCACCCCACCGTTCCTGGGGCGCGCTGGCGCTCGCCCGCAATCGCCCCCCACCCATCCACCCTTTTGTCTTTGAGGCTGTCGCTCCGAGAAAACTTGTCTCGCAGCTGCGAGAAATTACCTTCTCGGGTCCGTTGGCCTCTTTCGTAGGGAAGAATTTTGATACCCGTCAAGACGCCTGCTGGGGGCAGCTTTGCGATGAAGCCGTTTGTTCCCCACTTGTCAACAGCAGGCGCTGGCGCCATTAACGTATCGGCGTTCTCCCACGTGATGTTGACCGGGTGGGCGGGTGGTCATGGAAGGTATTTTAAGGACAGTCACCCAGTCCGATGGAAGGTATTTTAAGGACAGTCACCCAGTCCGATGGAAGGTATTTTAAGGACAGTCACCCAGTCCGATGGAAGGTATTTTAACGTCAGTCACCCAGACGAATGGAAGGTATTTTAACGTCAGTCACCCAGACGAATGGAAGGTATTTTAACGTCAGTCACCCAGACGAATGGAAGGTATTTTAACGTCAGTCACCCAGACGAATGGAAGGTATTTTAACGTCAGTCACCCAGACGAATGGAAGGTATTTTAACGTCAGTCACCCAGACGAATGGAAGGTATTTTAACGTCAGTCACCCAGACGAATGGAAGGTATTTTAACGTCAGTCACCCAGACGAATGGAAGGTATTTTAACGTCAGTCACCCAGACGAATGGAAGGTATTTTAAGGACGTCACCCAGTCCGCAATGTGAGCAACCAAAGGAGGCAATGGATTGCGTTCCCGGGCCCTGCATGGTATTTTAACGCCGTCACCCAGGCGAGCATGGGCATGTAGTTCATGGTATTTTAACGCCGTCACCCAGGCGAGCATGGACAGGTGGCTCACCCTAGGCGAACCGTTGAGTTCGAACCGGCGGCCACGTGATCGCACTAAGTTGATTGAGCGAACTTGTCGCTCTCTGATGCGATTACGTGCCCAGCCCTGTTGGATCGGCGTAGTCGGTCGTCGAGGGCGGGCTGAAGTCCGTCCGATGACCGGCGGCACTGCCGAAGACGTAGGCCATGTGCCGCTCGCTCGTCCGCCCAAGTGACTCGGACGCGCGGTCGAGGGCACCCCACCGTTCCTGGGGCGCGCTGGCGCTCGCCCGCAATCGCCCCCCACCCATCCACCCTTTTGTCTTTGAGGCTGTCGCTCCGAGAAAACTTGTCCGCCGATAACGATTGGGGTGGGGGCCCCAACTCGTGGTAGGCCACTAGTTTATCGTAGGGTACTCACGGATACCTCTCCTGAGTCCCTCTCGTGTGCCCTCGCGCACATCGCATGCGGTCTTCACTCAGCCTCCGCTGCTGTGAACACCAAACTTGCACTTCAGCTGGCGCGCGCTTTCGCCGCCTACTTTCGCGAGCGCGCTTGGCACTTGCTCCTCATGCGCGGCGCTCTCGCTGCGCTCTCTCCCTGCTCATGGGACCTGATGCCGCGCCACCTCTGTGGCCGCTCCATCCTCTCTGACGGCGCCAGCCCTCCGGCTGCGCCATAACCCTTACGGCGCCGCGGCCGGCTGCAGGACGTTGAGGTTACCTCCGGACCTGCAGTTCGTCCAAGCTGTTTGAGTCCCAACCCTCCGCCTTTAGTGGCAAGACCCCGGGGGATGTCAGGTACTGCGTAGCTCTTCCGCTGTGGAGGCACGCGACTCCAGACTGACCCTTTACGCGCCAATGTATCACACCTCACGGTGCTGATGCTTGGTTCATGTGGAGAAGCCGAGATAAACTAGTCTCGCAGCTGCGAGAAATTACCATTTTGGTCATTTGCGCCATTTGGTACCTCTCGGTGCCTTCCAGAGGCAGCTGTGACCCCGCCGAGTGGACGGCGTCACACAGCAGGTGGCGCGGTGTGCCGCCGTCTACTCGGCGGGGCCGCAGCTGCCTCTGCGCGTCCTGGGGAGGTACCGAATTGTCGCCGCCGGAGACGACTCGACGCCGCTGAGATCGGAGAGCGAGCTCTGACAGGTCGCACGTCGCTCCTTTGACGCCGACGTGACTCACCCGTGCAGATCACATCAGTACACGGACTTGACGCGCTCGGTACGACGCCTGCGACCCGTCTCGGGTCAGGTGGCACGACGCTCATCGCGCCTACCAGCGCTGCCGTACAGGTTGCCACGACGAGGTCGAGCACGCTTCTATACGCTCGCCCAGCCTTCCTTTCCATCCCATAAGGTAGCCTGGGAACGGTGGCGGTCAGAGGCAAAGCCTACGAGGGGTGGTGGAACCACATGTCACGGCTACTGCCGGCTCGGCCCCAAATAGCCTCCGAAGGCTGACTTTGCGGCACCATCATCGGACGATGTCGACGAGTTGGGTCGCTCTCGCGGTAGCCAGATGACCTCTCTTCCTAGGAGCATCGGCCATGGCCGCAGGAAGCGCGGGGGATTCCGCTGGGAGCAACACGGAGCTCCGTTGACCTGATTTTTTATGAACCCTGATTTTCAGCAGGGGTTGTGGCAGCATCTCTAGAAACTTTCCTGCGGAGATTTATTTTCATGTCAGGTAGTGACATCCGACGAGCCCGCGACACGTCCGCCACGCCGGTCGACGAGCAGTCGAGTCAACCTACCCATAGATCTATCTGCGGCCACCTCTGCAGCGAGATGTGCCAGTTGGCGATGAGCGGCAGCGGGCGCAGGCACCTGGACCAGCCGACTGGCGTATCTCGCTGCAGCTCACCCATCGATTTATCTGCGGCCAGTGCATCGCAGTACACGACGACCGGCGGCTCGCCGCGCGCGACCGCGCCGCGCCGCAAGAAGCGGTTCGCGATGAGCGACTGGATGAGGAGTGTGAACGTCGAGCCCCACGTGCCAACGAGGTGGTCGGCGCGCGCGAGCAGGCCGAGGTCAGCGGCCGCCGTCTCGAGCGCGTCGACGCCGTGCTCCACAAATTGCCCGGGCTGCGACGCGTTGTTGCGCTCGACGCTGTGCAGCGCGCACTCGTTACCAAGCGCGCGCTCGAGCGCTGCGAACGTCGCGCGGCGGTCGCTTGCGAGCAACACCTCGCAGCGCCGGCCACGCGCGAGTTCTCGGATCGCGCGCGCAAAGAGCTCAACCTTCTCGTGGCCGTGCTGGCACGACGTGCGGTGGCGGATCTGCGCGGCGATGGTGACAACTTGCCCGTGGCCCTCGGCGGCGCGCCGCTGCTTCAGCGCGGCGAGCGCGCGCGCGAGCGCGGGCCGGTCCTCCCTGAAGCGGAAGAAGTCTGCAAAGATGCGACCGTAAAGCGCGTGCGGCCCGCCCGCACGCGCGAAGAGCGCGGCCGCGGCCGGGCTGACGCGCCGGCTCATCGCGGCCTCCTGCGACTGGAACTTACCCGCGATGTCCATCTGCCTGAGGTGGTATGCCTCGGCGCCGGGCCGGCCGAACAGCGAGAAGTTGCCGTGACCGAGGTCGCGGTCGATGCTGCACCACGGCGACGGCGCACGCGCGCACATCGGCGCGCCCGCGTTCTGGAGCGGGCACTTGAGCGGGCAGAGCTCGCGCGTCGCGTCGAGCAGCGGCAGCGCGTCGAACAGCCCAGTGCTGCTGAACAGGCCGCCGCACGTGTACGCGCCCAGCCCCCGCACGAGGCGCAGACCGAGCGTGAGCGAGAGCAGCGCGGCGTTCATCAGCTCGTGCACATGGTTACCGATCTGGAACGCGCACCCGGCCTCCTCTGTGATCACGATCGCTGACGCGCTGACGTTCGCGCCGTACTGTAGCCTCGTCGAGGCGAAGCCCTGGTCGATCACGCCGAGCGGCAGGCTCGGCACAACGAGGTTGGCGTACCGCGCCATTGAGAGCACGACGACGCGCGCGACCTTGTCCTGGGCCTTGTCGGCCTTGTCAGCGGCGCCCTCGATGCGGCAGCCCGCCTTCAGGTTGTGCTGGTGCGCCCGCGGCATCGACCCGACTTTCTTGGACTCTACTGGTCTCTGCACGGTCTGCGTACCGAGCAGCTGGAGTTGGAATGGGTAATCTCGGCGGCGGAGGCGGTCGGGGATCAAGCCGCCGTGCACGGTGTCTGACGATGTGACGATGTCCGGGGCATTTCCCGAGGCCAGCACGTTACACGCCTCCTTCAATGAGCATGTAGTGTGCAGGCCCCCATTTCTCTTTTTTTCGGGCGGCCGCTGGCCTGCGACGTAGGTGCACCACCAGCTGGTGCTCAGCACGCGAGAGAGAGATTTTTAGCAATACCAAACAACTCTAAGTTTTGGCAGCACGCTGCTCCTCGAGCAGGCGGCGCAAGAGTGATGCGAGGCACGGTAACGCTTTTGCTGCTGCACGCACCAGGGGGTGTCAGCAGTCTGAGTCTCGTTTGGCCTCACGCCGGCGCTATGGTCGAAATGGGGGTGAAATATAAGAACAGACCAGCCACACAACTGAGGGGGGGGGGGGGGGCTCTGCCGACTGCGGGACGACAGCAGCCCGCCCACAAGAGCCTTGTGTGCAGCGCGACTGCGCGAGACCGGGCGAGAGCGGCAGCAGAGCGCAGAGAGCGGCTCGGCCGAGAGCACGTCCGATTTTTTTCTCGAGAATTCCCGCCCACGAATTTCTTCTTCTCACGCGGCGGCGTTCCGTCGACGGTGCTCTCCCCGGCCTTGATGGTGACGAACTCGCCGCGTCGCACCACCTGCTCGAACTCCAGCCGCTTCATGCCAGAGCGCCGGTCTAGAAGAAGCGCCACGTCCGCTCCTCCTCCTCGGTCTTGAAGTGGACCGTGCGCTCGTCGCGCAGCAAGAGCGCCACGACGATTGAGTTCATGATGAAGTTCAGAGTCCCCCAGCACAGCATGTCAAGGATCAGCAACCGTGGCTCCGACGCCGAAGCCCATCCATCTCCGTGCTGTGGGCTGCCTGTCGCCGCCAAGATCACCATCCACATGAAGCCCGCAGCCAGGCAGCTTTTGTGAGCAGCAGGTCCGTTGTTTTTGTCTGTGCAGGTCCGAGAACAGGGCGGCAAGGAAGAGGAAGATGTTGAAGAGTCAGTTGTATGCGTGCGGCACGCCGGTCGGCACGTAGGAGGCCATATTGCAGGCACCTTGCCTTTCTTCTTTTCTCGCTACCACAGGCACACTGGAGAGTGACAAGCGAGCCCCCCCGCACCCACAAAGAGCCGGAACCCTGAATGGTGGCAGGCAGCATCTCGGGCGAGGCGGCGGCGGGGGTGAGTGACGCGGCCGCATCCAGCTCACTGGGCAGCCTTCCCGCAGAGGCGGCGATAGCGGCTGTAGATGGCGACGAGGCGGCGCTGCTGTCGTGGCTCGACAGCGACGGGCAGGTCAACGCGACTTGCGGCGTAGGCAATGTGAGCGGCAATACCGCGGTGATGCTCGCCGCCAGCAGCGGCCACGAGCGGGTGGTCGAGCTGCTGCTGCAGCGCGGCGCGGAGATCAACCTACAGAGCAGCAGCGGCGGCACCGCGCTGATATCCGCCGCCCGCCAAGGCATTGAGCGGGTGGTCGGGTTGCTGCTGCAGCGCGGCGCGGAGATCAACCAGCAGGACAGCGACGGCGGCACCGCGCTGATGGCCGCCGCCTACCACGGCCACCCCGCCGTCGTGCTCCGCTTGCTGCGGGCGGGCGCGGATACGAAGCTGCGCTCTGTGCACGGCAAGTCCGCGCTGCAGTGGGCCAAGGAGAAGGGCCACGCCGCATGTGTCGATGCCTTCCGGCAGCACGTCGCGGAGGTAACTGCGAGCCAGCGCGAGGCGGCGGCGGGCGGGGCGGGCGGCGCTTCCTCGGGCGAGGCGGCCTCTTCCAGCTCACTGGGCAGCCTTCCCGCAGAGGCGGCAAAAGCGGCTGCGGAAGGCAACGAGGCGACGCTGCTGTCGTGGCTCGACAGCGGCGGGCGGGTCAACACCAGCGGGGCGAGCGGCATCACCGCGCTGATGCTGTCCGCCCGCCATGGCCAAGAGCGGGTGATCGAGCTGTTGCTGCAGCGCGGGGCGGAGATCAACCTGCCGAATAGCATCGGCGGCACTGCGCTGATGGGCGCCGCCATCGAAGGCCACGAGCGGGCGGTCGATCTGCTGCTGCGGCGCTGTGCGGAGGTCAACAAGCAGAGCGGCCGCGGCCTCACCGCGCTGGCGCTCGCCGCCTCCCGCAACCACCCCGCCGTCGTGCGGCGTTTGCTGCGGGCGGGCGCGGATGCGAAGCTGCGCTCTGAGGAGGGGAAGTCCGCACTGCAGCTGGCCAAGGAGGAGGGCCACGCCGCGTGCGTCGATGCCTTCCGGCAGCACGTCGCGGAGGTGACTGCGAGCCAGCGCGAGGCGGCGGCGGGCGGGGCGGGCGGCGCTTCCTCGGGCGAGGCGGCGGCGGGGGCGAGTGCCGCGATCGCATCCAGCTCACTGGGCAGCCTTCCCGCAGAGGCGGCGAACGCGGCTGCGCAAGGCGATGAGGCGGCGGTGCTGGCGTGGCTTGACAGCGGCGGGCAGGTCAACGCGACTCGCGGGGTAGGCAATGTGAGCGGCTTCACCCCGCTGATGCTCGCCGCCCGCAATGGCCACGAGCGGGTGGTCGAGCTGCTGCTACGGTACGGCGCTGAGGTCAACTTGCAGGACAGCGACGGCGGCACCGCGCTGATGCTCGCCGCCGCCCACGGCCACGAGCGGGTGGTCGAGCTGCTGCTGCAGCACGGCGCAGAGGTCAACCTGCAGGACAGCGTCGGCATCACCGCGCTGATGGACGCCGCCCACCAAGGCCACGAGCGGGTGGTCGAGCTGCTGCTGCAGCGAGGCGCGGAGATCAACCTGCAGAGGAGCGACGGCGGCATGGTGCTGATGTTCGCCGCCGGCTACGGCAACGAGCGGGTGGTCGAGCTGCTGCTGCAGCGCGGCGCGGAGATCAACATGCAGAACAGCGGCGGCGGCACCGCGCTGATAAACGCCGCCTTCAAAGGCCACCCCGCCGTCGTGCGGCGTTTGCTGCGGGCGGGCGCGGATGCGAAGCTGCGCTCTGAGCACGGCAAGTCCGCGCTGCAGTATGCCAAGGAGGAGGGCCACGCAGCGTGCGTGCGCGCCCTCGAGGAGCATGCGGCGGCTGAGGCGGCGGCGGAGGCGGCGGCGAGGGAGGCGGAGAGAGCGGCGGCGGAGGCGGAGGCGACGCGGCATGCCGAGGCGCTGATAGCGGGGGAGGAGGCGGAGAAGGAGGCGGGGGAGCGCGCCAGGGAGAGCAAGAAGGGGAAGAAGAAGAAGAAGAGGGGGAAGGGCGGCGGGGGCGGCGCTGGGCCGTCGCAGGAGCCCGAGGATGAGGCAGCGTTGGCGACGGGAGAGGAGGCGGAGTTGGCGGCGGCGCTCGAGGAGAGCGCGAGGCTGGAGGTCGGGGCGACGCGTGCGGCGGGGGATCAGGCGCGAGTCGCCGAGGGCGCTTCGTCACCGGCGGCGGAGGCGCCGCCTGAGGGGGGGGAGGAGCCGCCGGACGACTTCATCTGCCCGATCACGACCGAGCTGATGAGCGACCCGGTGATGGCGGCGGACGGGCATGCTTACGAGCGGTCGGCGATCGAGCGCTGGCTCGCGACCAAGTCGACGAGCCCTCTGACGGGCGGCGCGCTCGAGCACCCATACCTCACCCCCAACCACATGCTGCGCCGTCAGATCCGGGACTGGGAGGGGGCGCGCAAGGCAATTTGACCGTGCATCCACCCGCACCTCAGCACCACCCTAGTTCCACGGGGTGCTGATGGGCGTCTCCCTCGCCCTCTGGGTAGAGTAGGGCGCTCGCGGAGATGAAGCTGCGGCCCGTAACCCCCCTTTTCTTTTGCACACACAGCACACCGCAACGAGAGAGAGCGTGCGGTGTGCGGCGCGAAGATCCTAGCACCTAGCTGCACGCAGGGCGTACGGCTTTACGTGTGCGTTCGTTCGGTGTAAATCTCACGCAAAATCGCAAAATAATGATACACACCACGAATCGCAACTCGATGTCGAGATCGTACAGGGTGGAACACAGGCGTGAGACACATACATGTAAGTGACGGACTTAGTTTTGCCTCCACATCAAAGTTGACTTCCTTCCTTAGATACATACATACTTTGCCCGTAGGTTGCGCTGCGCGACACACGGCGCTGCTGCCTCGCTGCTGCACCGCTGGGAGCGGGAGCCTGCAGCCCTTTGACGCTGGCCGGTTCACAGAGAATGTGTTCAGACCTTTGCGCGGGTTGTGTGGACAGCCATTCCGCGTGGTTGAGGGGTTGAAGGGGTCTGTCAACCACTTGGTTGAGGGTTGAGGCCTCTGTCAACCACGTGGTTGACAGTTGAGGCAATCGGCCTCAACCACCGCTCTGGGCCGAGAAAACTGCCAACACACACACACACACACACACACACACACACACACACACACACACACACACACACACACACACACACACACACACACACACACACACACACACACACACACACACACACTCCTACCCGCATCAGGTCCGCCCAGCAAAAAAAGTCTGGCCAGGAATGAAATTCGGCGCTGAAGTCGACTGAAGAGGGGTACGGAAGCAGTCCGCCCGCGGCCAATCGACATGGCTCTCGCTGTGCTTCACGCGGCGATGGGCTTTGCGCCCACCCGCGAGGGTTACACCCTCCTTACCCCCGAGGGCTACGCGGCAAGGGGCTGGGCGTCATGGGAGGAGGTGAACGAGGCCGGGCCTGAGGCGTGGCCGACAGGGCCGCCGGCCGACATCCCCTGCATCAAGCTCTTCACTTTCGACTTTGACGGCACAACTGAGTTCACCGACAACTTGGCGCACGCCGTGTTTGACCACGCGACCGAAGAGGAGAAGTTGACTGACCTGGTTCCCGCTTATGAAAGGCTCAAGGCAGAGTTGGGCGGCACGGCGGCAATCATCATGGCGTATTTTGACGGTCCCGGGCGGATTGAGTACTTCAGAAAATACGTCGATGAGCTCATCGGCCAGGAGAGTCATGTTTTCATTCTCTCCGCGTCGTGGGATCCGACGCCGGGGACAGTCTGGGAGGCGTACTTGTACCACGTGCGCGCCGCCACGTGCTCGCCCGCAAGCCGCGCCGCTCGCGGAACCCCCCCCCCCACCCACCCACCCACCCCGACAGGTGCTCAAGGATGTCGGCATCCCGTTTCCGCCGGATCGAATCGTCGGAACGGACGATCCCGGGCCCGGCATCGCAGCCGACAAGGCGAACCCGGGCATGCGAGTTGCCAGGAGGCTGGGGGTACCCAGTGCGCAGGTGATGCACACCGATAACAGCTTCAAGTACAACGCCCAATTCATCGCGGTCGGCGGGTACGGGCTGTACCCCACTCCGACGAGTCAGGCGGCGCCCATCCAAGACCCCGAGTTCGAGTTTATGCTGAAGGCGGCCAGCGCGTGCTAAAGTGGAGTTGAGGCTATGATAGCCGACGGCGAAGAGGAAGGGCCCGAGAGGATCGCCCTGCGCGCAGCCCTCGGTCGACATGAAGGTGTCGCCCGAGCTGCACCGCGCCTCCGCGTTGAAGAGAAAGAGGCGGCGCTGCTCGCTATACCACAGCGCGACGGTCGGGATGAGCTCCGGGAACCACCGCCGCAGGCCCGCAAAGATGGCCTTGCGAGAGATGCAGTTGAAGCCGTTGCGCTTGTCGTCCGAGGCGATCGCGTGGCCGGGGTTGCGCCGCAGATGCTCCTGCAGCAGCTGGATCGCCACCTCGGCTCCGCCAGCGAGTCCCACGCCGACCTGCAGGGGGATGTTGCACGCCTTGACGCGCGCCTCCGCCTCCTCCGCCGACATGCCGAGCCCGCCGTCCTCGGTGGGGCGGAGGCAGATCTCGCGCATGCCGTCGCGGACCGTGCGTCTCATGTCGGGCGTGCCGCCGGTGAAGAGGTCGCACATGTCGGCGCTGCGATGCTTCATGAGCACGCGGTTGGCGAGGCGGCGGATCGCGGCGGGAATGCCGATGGGACGGGTGCCGGTGAGGTTTCCGTCGTCGTCTCTCTTCTCGATGCCGAGGAGGTTGAGGTCGCCCCAAATCTTTGTGGCCGACTCGTGCACCTCGCCGCGGTTGATGGAGGCGACGATGTCGAAGAGCACTTCCCTCGTGTCCGCCCCGCCGTAGTACAGGAACTCTAGCTCCTCATAGCTCACGCCGTCGACGGACATGGCCCGCGCCTTGGGCACCGAGTGGAACACCTCCCAGAATGCGTCCCGGTACTCCTTGCTGGAGGTCGAGTAGCGTGTGACGGCGCCGCCGGCGCCCTGGGCAGGCCGCATGTCGTCATCCGAGACCGCGGTGGACTGCGGGTGGAGGTCGCGAAGCGTGTCTCGAACCAGCGCCTGGTCCGCTGTCAGGCCGCCGCCGGGCTGCGTGTCGTCGTACACGCCCGTCTCGGCGACGGGGTTGGTCGAGAAGCGGGCGCAGGCCTTGGAGAGGTAGCCTGCTCCGGCGAGGCCGAGGACGGTGGCGAGGAGACGCTCGTCGCGGCTCGACTCGCTCGCCCCCTCTCCCTCTTCCTCGCCCGCCTCCGCCTCTGCCTCCTCCCCCCCCCCGGACGGAGCGTGCGCTCCCCGCCTCATGGCTGCAGCAGCGTCCGCAGCCGCCCCGCTGCCACCCTGGCGCTCGAGCTCGGAGGCGCGCGCCGCCGCCTCCCTCTCTCGCTTGGCAGCGGCGGCGTCGGAAGCCTCTCGCACCATCTCGGCGACCAGCTGCTCCAGGCCGCCTGTCATGACCATCCGGACGCGCCCGAGCATCTCCGACTTGGTCCGCTCCTTACCGCCCTCGCGGAGATGGTTGATGGTTACCATCTTGGATAGGATCTGGAAGGCGACGTAGAGCCCCGCGTCCGGGGTGTTGATGTGATCGCGCAGGAGCGTGGCGCCGTGGTAGAGCATGCCGTAGTACTCCCGACGCGCTCTCTTCGGTGGGCGGCGGCGACGGACGGTGTCCAGCTGCGCGAGAAGGCGTGGGTGGTTGGCCCAGGGGCGGAGCCACTCGTAGGAGTATCTGACGCCGGGGCTCGAGATGAAGTATTGCGAGCCGCGGGCGTGGAACGCCGCCTTGCGCGCTGCGTCGGACGAGACCTTGGCGCGTCGGCGTGCTTCGGCGCTGGTGGCGGCGGAGCTCCCGTCGTCGCCCGCTGCCCTCTTGGCCCTCGCCTTTGCGACCGCAGCCAGCCAATCCGTGTGCCTGCCCCGCATGCGGTCCGGCGTTCGATCCTTGCGCGCGCCGTAGCAGACAGTGCGGAAGTAGTGGGCGGGGGAGCCGACCTCGGCCTGCTGCTGAAGATGCCGCATGAACCCCTCCCTCCCGCCCTGCCACCGCTGGTCGCCTGTCTCGCCGCGGTACTTTGGGTCGCACTTGACGAGGTGCTGGTAGAGCCCGCACTTGCTGCCCACGGTCGCGTACCACTTGCCGCAGTTAGGAACAGGGCACCGAGCCACGCCCATGTCGTAGCAGTCCGACTCAAAGAGATCCTCGCCCGGCACGTGCGAGCCCGCCTCCTTGTTGCAGTGCCGCGCCAGGGCAGCGAACGAGAGGGCTGAGTCGGCGAGCCCAAATCCGCGTGGGCCAGCCCAAGACGGAAGGCAGCGGGAGCAGCCGGTGGTGACCGTCGGGTCGGAGAGCGAGTAGTGAGGGCATCGGACCTCCGGCACTCCGGACGGGCGGAAGGCGGTCGGCTTCTCGCCGCCGCCATCACCACCGCCGTCGTCGCCGCCGTCGTCGCCGTCCCCGCCGCCGCCGTCCCCGCCGCCGCCGCCGCCGCCGCCGCCACCACCGCCGCCGCCGTCGCTGCCGTCGTCCCCGCTGCTGTCGCCGTCGCCGTCGCCGTCGTCGCCGCCACCACCATCGCCGCCGTCCATATCATCGGCTCGGCCGCCCCGCGAGGCGGGAGCCGAGCTAGGCCCCGCGCTCCCAGGCTGCGAGCCCGCCGCCCCGCCCTTCCCAGAGGTCGGCCTGAGGCGACGGATGCCTAGCCCGCCCTCTGAGGCGGTGATCCTGACGATGGCAGCGCAGTGGCTGTCATGCTGCAGGAACAAATGGAGCACGTACTGCGGCTGACTCGACTCTGTCGGCCAGATGAACTGCGGCATGCAGCGCGCGCCCTCCCGAGTGATAGAGTCGACGACAATCGGCGTGCCAAAGAGGTCGGCCACGCCAAGCAGGAACCCGTCACACCCGTATGCGTCGCCTCGAACGCCAGCGAGGAAAGCCGCGAGATCACGTGCGTCAGTGTCGGCGGCTAGGGCCCGAGACCTGTGCACCGACAGCAGCAGCTGCTCCACTGTGCCGAGGGTCCGTGCGTCGACGGTGTCGTGTGGCCGGCGGACGACTCGGCGCAGCACCTCGGGCATGGCCAGGTGGCGCGCCACGGCGAGGCGCAGCTTGCCACTCGCGAGCTTGGCGTCCCAGGAGGCGCCGAGGGTTAGCAGCCCGTGCGCAGCCAGCAGGGCCTCGGGCAGCAGTCTGCGCAGCTCCCAGGCGCACGCCGCGACCACACAGTCACCGGACGAGTCTAGGTCGACCGCCTCCCAGTGGCAGTCCTCGCACCCAATAGGCGGGAAGTCAGCACGCTGGGAAGTAGCGCGCGCGAGCATCGGGAAGCGGCCGGGGTCGATCCCGCCTGGCAGGCGCTCTGATGCGGGCGCGGTCGCAAAGCGGACGCCGGCGGCGTCGAGCAGGGCCGTCGTGTGCCTGAGGTCCCTGACGGCGTCCATGTTCCACAACCCGCCCGAGCTCGTCGCACCGCCCACGCCGCCCGCCACGCCGCCCTCGCCGCCTCCGCCGCCCTCCGCGGTGACGGCGCTGCCACCCGAGGTGTCGGCCGCGGTGTCGACGGGCATCTCGCCCGCGTCGTCGTCGTGCTTTCGGCGGCGGTCCTCCCGCGCGGAGGGCGGATGGCGCGGCTCCCTCTTGCGTTGTGGGCGGGCCTCTGGCTGCGAGGGCGATGGCTGCGAGGGCGATGGCGAGGCCGCCGTGCCGCTCGGCTCCGACGGCGATGCGACCGCCTCCGAATCGGGCGGGGTCGGCTTCGAGACGGGCGGGGGCGCCTCCTCGGGCGGGGGGGGGAGCTCACGGGGCGCGCAGCTTGGCTCGCGGGAAGACGCAGTCTCCTCTCCCTGCGCCGAGCACGACCTCGCCTGCCGAGATCGTGATCGTCGCCGAGCTCGCCCCCGCGACCGCTCATCACCGCGGCGCTGGGCGTCTGCCTTCGCCGCCGCCGCCGCCGCCGCCGCCGCCGTCGCCGCCGCGGCCTCCTTCGCCGCCTTCGCCGCCTCTTTCTGCACCCTCGCCGCCTCTGCCGTGGCGGCCTTATCGGCGATCCTTCGGCTAGTCCGCCCAATCTCTCGCGATGGCGCGTCCGACTTAGGCTGGCTCCGGCGCGCACTGCGTTGTTGAGCGCCGCCGGCCCTGAAGTGGAAGAGCGAGCCGAGGGAGGAGGAGGCGTCGCTAGCGTGGTGGGCGCCGGCGGGTCGTCTCGCTTGGTCGAGCCGCGCCCGCCCACGCCGCTCCGCCTCGAGGCTCTCCTCGAGCCTGAGGCGCGCCGCGCCCTGTTTCTCTTGCGCCTCGCGGACGGCCGACGCGAGCAGCTTGGCCTCCTCCAGCTCCTCCGCGCGCTGGAGCTGCTCGGCCTCTCGCCGCTTGCGTGCGCGCGCATGGCGAGAGGCGACGGCAGCCCTCCTTGCGTGGCGGGCGCGCAGGAGCGCATACTCGTCGCGGGCGCGCCTGGCCGTGCGGAGGGCGTGCGCGAGGTTGCCGTCGTCGGAGAGTGCCGCCGCCTCGGCGCCAGCCTTGATGGCCCCGCGGAGCGTGGCGAGCAGAGGGCACGGTGGTGAGGGCGGCGGGGCGGGGCGCGGCGGTGCGGTTGGAAGCGCCGCGGGCGGTCCGTAGCGTCGCCGGAACCACGCGACCAGCCGGCGGGCCCCAGCCAGGCGAGCGAATATCTCCGTCGCGGCCCCGCGCAGTGCCGATGTAGCCGAGGCGACGTCGAGGCGTGTGGGGCCCTCGGGTCTCGCGTAGTAGCTCGCGACGCCCTCGGGCAGGACCGTCGCCTGCCGGCGGATCGCCGCGCCGCGGCTCTGGCGATGGGGCAGGCAGGCCAGCGCCGCCCCGAATGGTCGCCTCGACAGGTCGGCGAGCCTGTCCCGGCGCTTCGAGGCGAGGAGCCTCGCCTGCCGCCGCGCCGAGGCTCCCCGAGCGAGCGCCTGAAGCGCCCTGGCAGAGCGGAAGCGGCACTCGCGCCGTTTGTAGAATTCTCAACTTGGCTGTGAAGGCTTGCGGCGCCGGCGCGGGACCGATCCTCTGTGGCGGATGGCCCTCGTCTTCCAGGTCCCCAACTCGCTCGCGCCTCCCATCATCGGCCCGCGCGGCAGCGCCGTCCGCCGCCTCGTCCAAGAGTCGGGCGCCACCAGCATCCACCTGAGCAACCAGGACGCTGCCTCGCCCGACCGGCGGTGCAGCATCCGCGGCGAGTCGGCGGCCGCCATGTGCCACGCCTTTGACGGCTGCGCCGCCCTACTCCGCGCCGAGTGCGCGCGAATCGGCCGCAGCGACGCGACCCGGCGCGTCCGCTTTGTCGTGCCTGAGGCAACGTCGCTGCTCGGCGAGGCGGCGCTGGCGAGGCTGCGAGGCGCCGGCGTGGCGACGGAGCTCTCGCCGCGCGCCGCGGGCGAGGGCCCTGCTGCTCGCGAGCTGACGCTCTGTGGCGACGCGCCGTCCCTCTCTGCTGCCGCGGCGCTGCTGGTCGAGGCGATCCTCTCCAGGCATGGCCAGCGGCTGGGCAGCTTCCTCTCGCGCTGGTCGTTTGTGACCGAGTACAATGACCACTTTGAGACGCCGCGGCGCGCGTACGCGGACATCCTCCCTCTCCTCGCCGCCGCTTCGCCGCTCCCTCCAAAGCGGGACGGGGGCAGCGCCCCAGAGGCGGAGGCGCTGGCGGCGGTGACGGTCTTTGACCCGTACTTTTGCGAGGGAGGCGCGCGGCTGCCGTAGTGGGAACCTTCTAGGAACCTTCTAGGAACCTTCTAGGAGGCGCGCGGCTGCCGTAGTGGCCTCACGACACCTCCCCCCCCCTGCGGGAGCCCGCCGCGGCCTTCTAACGCCTCTCGCCAACCACTCGCGGCGGCCCCCCTCTCACCAATCGCAGCGACGCACGCCTTTCGTGCTCTTCTTTGCGTTCCGAAGCACACACTGCGCTCCTCTGTAGCATCACACGGTCACCTCCCTTGCCACTGTCCTTGCCACCGCCGCGGCCACCCACGCCGCCGCTACCGCACCAGCCCCTCGTGCGATTGGTTGTCTGCAGGCGCCGTCGCAGAGCTCGAGGCGCTGGGCGTGCGCCGCGAGAAGCTTCTACACCGGAACCTTCTAGGAACCTTCTAGGAAGTTTCTAGGCGCTGGGCGTGCGCCGCGAGAGGGTTCTCAACCGGAACCGCGACTTTTACGCGGACATCGCGACGGGCCAGCTGCCGCAGTACGACGTCCTCCTCACCAACCCGCCCTACTCTGGCGACCACAAGCAGAGGCGCGGCGTGGCCCTGCCTTGCTCCCTGCCCCGCCGCAGCGTGCCCCTTCTTCTCCCGAGTCCCGAGCCAGAGGCGAGGCGTGTCCACAGCCTGCGTTGCTCCTTGCCCGCCGCAGCGTGCCTCGTCTGCCCGAGCCCTGGCCGCCTTCCCTGCCATCCGCGCCGCGATCCCCCCCCCCCCCCCCCGGCTTGGCAGCCGAACACGCCCTCACCCCAGAGCGAGTATACGTGTAGCAGACCTACCCCCACTTCCCCGCCAGACTGCAACGCCCCCTCCCCCCCCTTCTAGACTGCAACTTCCCCGCCCACTTCCCCGCCAGACTGCAACGCCCCCTTCCCCGCCAGGCTGCTCCGCTTCCTGGCCAGCGACGGAGACATGCGCGGCGCGCCCTTCCTGCTTCTGCTGCCCGCCTGGGTGTGCGAGAAGGACTACTGGAACGCGTTCCTCGAGCGGCTCGCGACACACCGCGCTGCAGGAGGCGGCGGCGGCGGCGGCGGCGGCGGTGGCGGCGGTGGTGGCGGTGGCGACGGTGGTGGCGGTGGCGGCGGTGCGGGCGACAGCAGCGCCGCGCATTCCTCCGGCGAGTGCTGCAAGCGGCGGCGCAGGCGGAGGGTGGGGGAGGGCGGGCTGGAGAGGGCTGCGGGCGTCTTCTACGTCCGCCCCTCGGTGCGGTACCAGTTCAAGCACCCGCAGGCGAGCAAGCGGCGTGAGCCCCTGTCCACGCGACTGCGGGCATGATGTTGATGTCCCGTGGCGTTATGCACGACCGCATGTCATAGGCGACTGGGAACAGCGCGAGCCCCTTCCACGCCGTCTGGTTCTGCGGCGGGTGGGCGACCGAGGGCGCGCGCCGACGCGCGATGCGCGCGCTGCGGCCGAGCAGGAGGCTGCGAGAGGTGGAGGTGTTTCGCTCGGCGAAGATGCTGCGCCGCCGGGGGCTGTGAGGTGTGTGAGCAGAAAGAGATACGTTATCGATCAAAGTCAACGTGTGTACAAAAGAGCAGCCCGATCGCCGCCGATATGGCGATGCTCCCGCCTGTGATCGCACGGGGAGGTTATTAGTCCCGCTATGGATATGTAAGAGCCACTAATGCAATTGTCGGCCACCTTATGCACATCCATGCCCACGGTTCGTAGGACGTCGCTGAGACGTCGTGTATTTTGGTGCCGTGTCAAGCCGGGTGGAGGCTCAGTGATGCGTCACGCATACGCCTCGCTTTACGCGTACAGACAGAAAGCACGATCGGTGATTTCAAATGTGCTGCGAATTATGCGCACGTCTTCTGTCCCGATCGTTACCACCGACCTTCTGGCCGCTACGCACCACGCACCACGCATCTGTTTTATGTAAGCTTTGCCAGAGAGGCTCTCTCGGGCCGCTACGCACGGTGTATTACGCACAGGTCTTACGCAGTGGGATCGTAAATCGGGGCTGGGTGAGCCTATGACCGACGCATTACGCACATGCTCTACGCTCTCGACCGTGAACGGCGGCGGAGAGGGGGTTACGCCTCATGTATTACGCATACGTCTGACGCATCGGTCGCCATGGGTGTCGTTTGGAGCTTACGTCCCACGTATTACGCACACGCACGACGGATTTGACTGAGAAGTGGCGGCCAGCAAGGGTTACGCCTCACGTATTATGCATACGTCTGACGCATCCGCCCCACCTAACCCCTAACCCCTAACCCCTATAACCCTTAACCCCTAACCCTAATTTCGCGCTGCCGTTAGGGCAGCCATAAGCTGGTTAGGCAAGGGTTGTATGTGCGCTGGTAACAACAGACTGGGGCATAGCCCTTGACAGCCCCCCCCTAACCCCCCCCCCCCCTTTATGTGCGCGCACTGGCGCTGCCGCTAGGCTGCCATAAGCTGGCTAGGGTTGTATGTGCGCTGGTAACAACAGACTCGGGCATAGCCCTCGACAGCCACCCCCTAACCCCCCCCCCCCCCCCTTTATGTGCGCGCACTGGCGCTGCCGCTCGGGCTGCCATAAGTTGGCGCTGCCGCTAGGGCTGCTGCACAATCATGAGCCTGTCTCCAAACACCTCTCCGACGCGCTCGACTATAGTCCAAATTGGACGATGGACTATATGTCGGGTTGGCGGCCATTTGCTCAGGCGTCAGAATGCTGAGCTCGTACACTGGCAGCTCCGCAGAGGTTGAGGACGGCGGCGGCGGCGGTGGCGGCGCGGTGAGATCGCTGGTGTCCCTGCCCGCCTCCCTGCGGGCATAGAAGAGCGCCGCCTCCTCGGCGGTGGCGAAGAGGCCGAGGCGGACTTGCTTGCCGCCGTCCCTCACCTTCAGCTCGTACTTCTGGCTGCCTTGCTGCTTCGGGCGGTAGCAGACGCCTTTGTAGCCGGTGTTGCTGCTGCTACTGGCGGTGAGGGTGAGGCCCTCCCTCTCCGCCTGCCGTATCGCCTCGGCGCCAGCGGGAGTGGGAGCGGGGCGGGGCTGCAGCAGCTTGGCGGCGTCGGCGCGGCCGTACTCTGACCGAGCGTAGGCGGTGGCCGCCTCTTTGGCGGTGTCGAAGTAGCCGAGGCGGACATGCTGGCCGCCAGCCTTCACCTTCGCCTGGAACTTCTTATTGCCGCGGATGTAGGACACGTTCTTGTAGCCAGTCGTGCTGTTCTTGGCGACGCGGTCCGAGGCGGGGCCATCATGCAGCGGACGCACGTAGAATTTCGCGAGTTTGACAATTGGGATTCGATTTGGATTGAGCAAGGCAGCGCGGGAGCCTGAAATCATTGGCCAGGCAATCGTCTCGCGGGCGTTTTGGCGAGTGCAGAAACATAATGCGTATACGTAGTACGTCAGCGCCTCCAGGCTGTGGCGCCAGGAGGGGGTACGTATGCGGATACATGATACGTCATGCGTAACGCGGTCGTCGATGGGCCTGAATTGGTAAAATTATGCTGCGTAAGTGCGGGGCAGGGCCAACATTGAAGTATTCTGTGCTGTTTTCGAAGGAAAATATGCGCTGTGAACAGGTCAAGGGCGAGGGCCGGACTTCGTATCTGCTGTATTTTCATAACTAGCTATGTCTACGCACCAGGTTACGCACCCGAAACCAGAGCATAAGGCGATGCGTATTCATTTTGTGGGTTGGGCATATCCATAGCGGGACTGATCACGATTGATCGCACGGCGGCCGTGTCCTTAATCGCAAGAGCATTAAATGTTTTAGGTGTCATTACATCCATGGCAGCTTCATGCCACCGAACCGGCCCTCCCTTTCCCTCTCCGCCTCCAGCGTCCCCGCCGTCCCAAACAGGTCCTGCCGCTCGCTCGCTCCCTGCCTCGCCGCCTCCTCCACCGCCTTCGCCTCGGGGAAGAACCTCGCGTCGCGCAGCAGCCCCGCCGGCCCCTGGACCACGTTGGACACGACCACAGGCAGGTCGGTCAGCAGGACCTGGTCCTCGGCCCTGGCGCCGTACACGGGCGTCGCAAAGTCGAGCAGCTCCGCCTGCGGTGAGGGACGGGCCGTGGATAGCGGCGTCAGATCCAGAGGGCCGTAGGATCCAGTGGGGACTGGAGGATCTGGGGTGTGGGGACTGGAGGATCTGGGGTGTGGGGACTGGAGGATCTGGGGTGTGGGGACTGGAGGATCTGGGGTGTGGGGACTGGAGGATCTGGGGTGTGGGGACTGGAGGATCTGGGGTGTGGGGACTGGAGGATCTGGGGTGTGGGGACTGGAGGATCGGGGGTGTGGGGACTGGAGGATCGGGGGTGTGGGGACTGGAGGATCTGGGGTGTGGGGACTGGAGGATCTGGGGTGTGGGGACTGGAGGATCTGGGGTGTGGGGAATGGAGGATCTGGGGTGTGGGGACTGGAGGATCTGGGGTGTGGGGACTGGAGGATCGGTGTGGGACAGCGGCGTCAGACCCCGCGGGGACTGGAGCTGCCGCCTTGCCGCGGGGGGCTGCGGTCCCTGCGTACTGCAGTCCCCCGGCCCCCGCCGACGGCCCTGCGTGCTAGGGCGGAGCTGAGGGCTGGGCGAGCGAGCCTTTGAGAAAAAGATGGGCAGCGACGTGGCCCCCGACTCGGTGGCGGTGGTCTGCATCCCGTCGATGCAAAAGAGAGGCGTGCTGCAGCGCTGCACGAGGGCGCGCTCCTGCGGGATGGTCTTTGCCTGCAGCGGGAGATATGGGGAGATATGGGGAGATGTGGGGAGATCGTCTTTGCCTGCTGCGTGCGCCAGACGACCGTGAGACGGGGCGGGCAGAGTGACGCGCTGAGAGGTTTGGCGCAGAGAGGTTTCGCTCGCCTCGCGCAGAGCAGAGTCGGCGGGCTTCAGACGAGCGGTCTGGTCGAAGTAGACCTCGTCGAGCGTCTTTGCGACGAGCCTCGCGCCGCCCGCCACGGCTGCGCGCGCTTTCTCCGCCTCGCGCGGCGAGAGGTAGTACGTCACCTCGCCGTCCTGCTGCACGAGTCCTCCCGCGGCGCTCATCAGCCCAAAGACAGGCACCTCCTTCAGCCGCCCGAGCACCACGCTGCGCGGCACCACGTCGTTGCTTTTCGCTCCGCTCGGCGCGCGCAGCGGCCGCCCGCCCTGGTATTGCGGGCCCTTCCGCGAACGCTTCTTGGCCATCCGCTTCTCGGCGCGCCCCATGAGGGCACGGCCGACGCGGACGACACAAGAACGAGCCGCCGGCGCCAACACGACCGGGCTGCTCGAGTGCGTGTGAGCCGGGAGCGCAAAGGCGGAGGCGTGAGGCAGGGCCGCTAGGGCGAGAGCGATGCGCAGCATCGATCGCCACCTGGTTGTCGGCGTTGTCAGCGAGGTCACTCAGCACCGCCGCGGCCTGCGACAAGAGCCGGACAAGAGCTCTAACACCCAGCGCGCGCGGGACCAGCACGCAGGGTTCGGACAATTTGCGGGGTAAGGTTTCTCGAACTTCTCGAGGTGGATATCCTTTGGCCGCGTTGGGTAGCGAGGATTGGTGTGACGCGATCCACGCAGGCGTGTTTTCTGGCGGCCGACCGTCAGTGCACGGAGTTGCCCCTTCTCCGACTGCCCCGGCTAGTTCACGAGTTTCGCGGGAGTGCAAAAACAAACAACCGGGAGTGACCCCTGCGTCAAACCCGAGACCTAGCGCGGGTGGGTTGGAGGGGGCTCGCCCCGTTCCTCCCCATCGGGCCGCATAAGCGGCCACGCCTCGCAGATTCGTTTCTCGCGCCTGGGTCAGGCGCGCGGGGCATCCCCGGGTCGCTACGACCAGCGATCCGAAGAGTGGCCGCTATGCGAAGGAAAGAGTGGGGCCCTCGGGGTACGCCTCGTCCGGCCCCCTCCGAGGGGGGAAGGAATTGCGGGGTCCCCTCGGGCGCCTCAGTTCGGCCCTCCCGAGGGGGGGAGGGGAGCAAGGGGGTGGGGGGATCGGGGCGGTGGGGAGGGGTCTCGGGTTTCGTGTGGCTAATACTTGCCCTTTCGGGGAGGGGCCTCAGGAAAGGCGAGTCCAGCTCAACCCTACGTCTTCCCCTCCCCCCTTGGTGATGGGACTGGGTGGTCGGGCGGGCGGGCGGACGGGCGGGCAAGCGGGGCAGCAGCTGCTGCAGCAGCAAGCTGCAACCTGCCGCAGATTGCTGCCGTTGTCTGCGCCGCGATCCGCCGCCGCGCCGCCGCGCCGCCGCCGCCTGCGCTCGCCGCCGTCCCTCATGTAGTCAGCGTTCGTTGAACACTCGCCCGCCTCTGCCCACTTGGTGCAGTCCGAGGCGGAGTCGGCGCATTCGCCCGCCTCCAGCATTCGCCCGTCCTGGTAATCAGTCTGTCCAGCGCGGTCGACACGCACGGGATCTACGGCGGACGCCGCGGAGTGGACATCGAGGAGGAGAGCGAATAGCCACCAACCCATCGGATCCGTGTGAGTGCTTCATCGGATCGAAATTGTAATTGAAGAAAACCTGCAGCGGCCGGCGCAAAAATGTTAACAAAAACGGCCTTGAGAGAGCAGTGACGAAGTTGCTCTTTTGACAACAGAATACGATTTTCAAGATTCTGACGCCGGGCCTTTGCCTGATAGCGAACACTTCTCAGAGAGCCGCCGCACTGACGCCGCCGCCGGGTGCAGTCAGCGGCGGCCAGTGATGCGACGGATCGCCGTCGAAGCGGGAGTAGGCGAACCGGGTCGCGTGCGCCGACGTGACCTGGTACTGCTCGGCCGTGCCCTCGATGGCGCCCTCCGCCTGCGCGCTCGTAGTGAAGAAGCCCTCCGCCGGGTACAGATCGACCCTGCCGTTGCGGGGGCCCGGCCAGTTGAAGGACTGTCCCACCTGGAGATAGAGCGGCGAGCGTGAATGTCGCGTGCTCGCAGTGTCGGCTGGCAGACTCAGCCTCGTCACCAGGCCGTGAGGCGCGGTGGCCGCCCCGACGGCGCCGCATCGGAAGGAGAGGTCGAGCCTGTGTTGCGTGCCCGCGACGCGATCGTACACGTGGTTCCCGGCCACTGTGACGGTCCAATCGCGCAGGGCGAAGGTGGCGCTCGCCATGTCGACCTCCATCGCGAGCGCGTCGCACACCCTGGCGCCGCCCTTGCCTAGCTTGAAGGGATGGCCGCCGCACGTCCCATTCACTATGCGCCACCCCCAGTTGCCCGAGTTTAGCTCCGATGCCTACTCGCATTGGGCGGTTTGTGAGACGCCATTCACTCCGCGTGGTCGGAGTTGAGCTTTGGCGCCCAGAACGAGACCAAGGCCCATTTTGCCGTCGGCTGGCTGCCGCCAGAGCCCATGCCCGCCGCGCCGCTTGGCATTGCCCCGTGGTCCACCCTCGCCGTCAGGTGAACCTCCGTGATGAAGGAGCCGTTAACGGTCAGCCTGCCCCTGTGGATCTTGAAGATCGCCTCCTCGGTCTTGGCATTCACCGCCAAGCCCGGCAGTGAGAGGAAGTTAAAGTAGCGGCCGTTCGCGCCACGAAAGTCGGCGCGTCCCCCGTGCGCGAAATGGAGGTGTGGGTCCTATAGCCAAGACATCGTGGTGGTTCTGTCATGATGCGGCTGAGATTGAACTCGAGGACATTTGATGCGAAGCCTTGAGGACATTTGATGCGGGGGGGGAGGGAGGCGGCGGAGAAGGCGCTGAAGAGGCATACGTAATCGTCATTCCCACGACCGCATCGGCTGTGAGGCGCTCAACAAGTGTCACGGAGAGGCCGCCCTCCAGGCTGCTCAATATAATCGGGCGGCCGCCAGCACTATCCCAACTGCTGAGTATGATGGGGCGGGCGCTGGCCAGGCTGCTGAGCGCGATTGGAAGGCCACTGGCGGCGGAGGCGTGAGCGGCGTTGTCGAGGCGGCGGCGTCGGTCGTCGCCAAGCGACTTGACGGTGTAGGGGTCGAGATGACCGGCGACGAGGAGGGCGCTGCCTATAGGATGTGCCGAGGGAGGTCAGGGAGGGCTAATCTCGATTGTCTCGGACACTGTTTGCGCTGCCACGCTCAAGGCCGGGGAGGTAGCAGTCGACGAAGATGATGGTGTCTCCCTGGCTCGCGTTCCTCATCAAGCTCATGGTCCTGCACTCTAAATGTGGCGGCGACTGGGGTGGCGCTAGTGGCGGCAGAGATGGCGGGAGCGTCTTTGGAGCCGACGGTGGCGGCGGCGACGGAGACAGAGATGGTGGCGGTGCGAACGGCTGGTCGGGCGAGAATGGCGGTGAGGGCGGCGGTGGTGACGGCGGGGGCGGCGAAGGCGGCAGGGATGGCGGGACCGGCGTTGGAGCCGACGGTGGCGGCGGCGTCGGAGACAGAGACGGTGGCGGTGCGAGCGGCTGGTCGGGCGAGAATGGCGGCGAGGGCGGCGGCGGTGACGGCGGGGGCGGCGAAGGCGGCAGGGATGGCGGGACCGGCGTTGGAGCCGACGGTGGCGGCGGCGTCGGAGACAGAGATGGTGGCGGTGCGAGCGGCTGGTCGGGCGAGAATGGCGGTGAGGGCGGTGGTGACGGCGGCGGCGGCAAAGGCGGCGGCAGCGGCGGCGGCAGGGATGGTGGTGGTGATGGGGGTGGTGGCAATGGAGGTGGCGACAGTGGAGGTGGTGGCGAAGGCGGTGGTGGTGTGGGCGGAGGCGGGGAGGGCGGTGGCGGCAATGGGGCCGGAGGCGAAGGAGGAGGAGGATAAGGGGGGTCGACTAAATCGCCTCCTTGCAGCACGTCTTGACGCCTTCGAGCCGAGGTCCGGGGGGGGAGAGGGCCACGGTGGACGGCCAGTGCGCAACAAACCACGCAAGTCACGGCGGACATTGGAGCGCCCAGCTCGCGTATTTGGCCGCCTATTGCGTGTTTTGGAAGTTCGGCGTTTGTCACATTCATTCGATATTATTACAGCACGCGGCGGGTGCCCGCCAGCGACGCGTCGCAGCGCACCACCGGAATAAAATTGTGCACCGTGTGACGCCCGCGCCGCCCGAGGTGGGTGTGTGGCTCGCGCCTCTATCTATCTAGGGCAGAGGAACGCCGGGTTTGTCTTGTATGTGCGTGTCGGGTCTGGATTGTTCATTATATTCTTTTCGAAGATTTTCAACATACGCGCCACACCCACCCCGCTCGACCCCACTCACGGATCTGACGGCGCACCATGTGGTTGGGGGCGAGGAAGCTTTGCACGAGCGCCTCGCCCGTCATCGGGCTCGTCGACTTGGTCGCGAGCCAGCGCTCAATCGCCGACCGCTCGTACGAATGCCCGTCCGCCGCCATCACCGGGTCACTCATGAGCTCGGTCGTGATCGGGCAGATGAAGTCGGCCGGCGGCTCCTCCTCCCTCGGAGCCGGCGCCTCTGCAGCCGAGGACGGCCCTTGCGCCTCCGCCGCCCGCCTCTCCTCCTCCAGCCTCGCGCTCTCCTCGAGCGCCGCCGCCAGCTCCGCCTCCTCCGCCGCCGCCACCACCTCCTCTGCCGCCTCCTCTGCCGGCGCCTCGGCTTCTTGCGACGGCCCAGCGCCTCCCCCGCCGCCCTGCTTCTTCTTCCTGCCCTTCTTCTTGGCCTTCTTCTTCTCCTTGGCGCGTGCCTCCGCCTCCTCCTCCGCCAGCAGCTCCTCAGCGTGCCGCGCCGCATCTGCCTCTGCCGCCGCCTCAAGTGCGCGCTCGCACTCGGTGTGGCCCTCCTCCTTGGCGAACTGCAGCGCAGTACGCCCGTCCAACGTGTCCCTTTTCGTCGTGTCAGCGCCCGCCCGCAGCAGGCAGAGCACGACGGCGGGGTGGCCCTCCTGACACGCAACGTGCAGCGGCGTCCAGCAGCCGCCCGCAGCTTGGTCGACCGCCGCGCGAGCCTCGAGGAGCAGCTGGGCGCACTCGAGGTGGCCGTTCTCGCACGCGGCGTACAGCGGCGTGGCGCCGCGGCCCGTGGCTTGGTCGACCGCCGCGTTGGCGTCGAGGAGCAGCCGGGCACACTCGGAGTGACCGTTCTCGCACGCGATGAACAGCGGCGTGAAGCCCCAGTCCTTGGCTTGGTTGACCGCCGCGCCGGCGCCGAGGAGCAGCCGCACGCACTCGAGCTGGCCCTTCTGGCACGCGATGAACAGCGGCGTGGCCCCGGTGTCCTTGGCTTGGTTGACCGCCGCGCCGGCCCCGAGCAGCAGCTGGGCGCAATCGAGGTGGCCCATCTGGCACGCGATGAACAGCGGCGTGGTGCCGCCGTCCCTAGCTTGGTTGACCGCCGCGCGGGCGCCGAGGAGCAGCCGGGCGCACTCGAGGTGGCCCTCCTCGCAAGCGATGAACAGCGGCGTGAAGCCGTCGTCCTTGGCTTTGTTGATCGCCGCGCTTGCGCCGAGGAGCAGCCGGGCGCACTCGAGGTGGCCCTCCTGGCACGCAATGTACAGCGGCGTGGCGCCGTCGTCCTTGGCTTTGTTGACCGCCGCTTGGTCGGCGTCAGCGCTGGCGCCGAGAAGCAGCCGAACGCAGTCGAGCTGGCCCTCCTGGCACGCGATGACCAGCGCGGTGGAGCCACGGCCCGTCGTCGCCCCCACGCTCGCGCCGCTCTCGAGCAGCAGCCGCACGGCGTCGGCCTGCCCGTGCCCAGCGGCGCAAGTCAGCAGCGTGTGCTGGTTCGCGGCCTCGAGCCGCGCGTCGAGCATGGCCGTGAGTGCCGGGCCGCGTGTCCACCCGGCGAGGAGGGCGCGCAGCGAGCCCAGGTCGCCCTGGCGAAGGTCGGCGGGGCACGACCGGGCTGATGGCGCCGCTCATGGCAGCGAAATCGCGAGTTTTTCTTCTTTCTTCTTTCTTCTTGGCTGGGATACACTCACACATCGAATTATCACTTGGCGAGGTCGCCCTTGGCCAGGTCGTCGATGGCGCCGCTCATGGGGAAAAGGGAAAAAAGCTGGGCACTTCGCAGGACCCGCCCCCACTCGGCAAGAGCCGAATCCGGCCACAGCGCGCAGAAAGGTCAATTTCGCTCGGCCCGGCCATCGCGACGACGACCGCCGCCCGAATTTGGGAGGATTCCGATCGCGATCGGAGCTCGTCCCCTTACATGACTCTGGAGGGGACGAGCGGCGGGGTTGGCGGGGCGGAGTGGCGATTCCCATCCTGCAGAGCAAGGGTCTTGGAAGGACGATCCGCTCGCCGATCCCTTCCCGCCCAGTTTCGACGGCGCATCCACCTGGCCGGACACATCCGACGAGCGCGGCGAGCCGGCGCTGGGCTCGCGCGGCGTCACCTTTGCTGACGAGTCGCCTTTGCCGGACCTCGACCGCCCGCCGCTGCCGACCTCGCTAGAGCGCTCTGGCACATATGCACATACGTGTATGCATGTGCATGTTGTGCATGTGCATGTGTGTATGTGCGTGTGGCAACTTGTGACACATACGTGTGGCGCGCACAGTGTCCGCACCGGCTTTCCGGAAACACACACATATGCGGCCCTTGCGGGCGCGCGGGGATATTTGCGGGGGCCGGGGGGTTCCCCTCATGCCATGAGTCTGCGTCATGCGATCATGCCGCCGCCGCAGCAAGGAACAGAAAACTGACCGTTCGCGCTTGCAACGGAGAGCGGGACGCTCAGGAGCGGCGTTAAAAAGCGCACCAACCGGCAGCGCGCCGCTACAACTCGACCGGCGGCCGCCCCTCCTCCCCCCTCCGGTCATCCCGCTCCGCCTCGCGCCCTCCCCGTCCCCTCCGCACGGCCCGCCACTGCCTGCGCAGCTCGTCGCACGCGGTAGCCACGCCGAGCAGCCCGACCAGAGAGCCGTGCGAGCGCGCCAGCCTCCCAAAGTGGGCGGCCTGCACCAGCCGCGCCGCCTCGAGCGCCGCGTCGCACAGCAGCGCGCTCTCGCCCTGCTTGCGGGCAGGAGGGCGGGTGGTTGGCTGGTCGGTAGGGTGGGGTGGCCGCTGACCGTGGTGGAGGCGCGAGGGCAGGTGAGGTGAGGCTGGCTAGCAGGAGGTAGGGGTGGGTCGAGAGGGAAGGCGCCTCGCCCAGCCGCACCATGCATGTGCCTGCTCGCAGCCACGCGGGTAAGCAGAAGCTCACAAGCTCTCGCCCAGCATCTCCCCATCTCGCCCCATCTCGCCCCAGATCTCCCCAGATCTCCCGTAGGAGCTCGCCTAGCAGCGGCTCGCCCTGCGGAGACGCCTCTGCACCACCTCCCCCTACGGGAGGTATGGGGAGATGTGGGGAGATGTGGGGAGATGTGGGGACGCCTCTCCCCCACCACCACCTCCTCCTCGACCCGACGGCCGCCGCCGCCCCTCCGCCTCCTCCTCCTCCTCGCTGTCTTGCCGCCGCACCCGCAAGCTCTCTGGCAATCGCTCTCGCAGCGCCGCGACCGCAGCAGTGCGCGCCTTTCTCCCGCCGGGTGTGCGGGAGAGGCGGAGGAGGAGCAGGGCGAGGAGCGAGGCGCTGCGCAGGGCGAGCCTGCAGCACGGACGCAGAAAGAGCGAGGGTAGGAGAAGGCGCTGCCGTGCACACACACACACTGCACCGCGCCGCAGAGTCCGTGCCGTCGCGAGTGCTCGTCCGAAGAAGACTGTGAGGCTCGCCGCTGGCCGTCTAGGAGGGGCGCATCTAGGAGGGGCGCATCTCAGATCTCCCCATATCTCCTCAGATCTCCCCACATCTCGCCGCTCGCCGTCTAGGAGGGGCGCATCTAGGAGGGGCGCATCTAGGAGGGGGGGCCAGCGGTGGGCGCGGCGTCCGGTGGGCGCAGGGGCGCCTGCAGGGGAGGTGTCTGGGTGGGTCAGGGGGGTGGGGGGGGGGGAACTGCGCCGATAGCGTCGGCGCTCTGGCGGGTGCGTTGGCGGAGCGCGGCTGTTTGCCGACGGGGCGACGGCAACTCCTCCGCACGGTACGGACCCGGCGTTGGACGCGTGGGAGGTGGCGAGCTCGGCGACATGGCGGTGACGTGGCGGTGGCGTGGCGGTGGCGTGGCGGATGCGAGGAGAGGCGGAGAGATGTGAGAGGCGGACAAGGCGTGGTGTCGAGGGATGGGCAGCGCGCCAGGGACAAGGCGGTGCTGCTGCAGCCAGCGGGCGTGGTCCGTTGCGATCGCCCAAAAGGAGGCGACCTGCGCGACCACGGCCAGCGCCCAGCCGGCCAGGTCTTGCTCGCCGTGGAGCGGCGCAGAGGTTCGCAGCGCGACCAGCGGGCCGACGCCCGCAAGCCAGCGGTGGGCGCGCCGGGCGTCGGCGAGCGCGTCGCGCAGCCGCCGCAGTGCGTCGCGCGTCTCGCCGCTGGGCAGCAGGCCGATTGGGACGAGGGCGGCGCGTTGCACCTGCGAGATTGCGCAGCCGCAAGACTGGAGAGGCTTTGCGCAGGTCGGCAGACCGGTTTTGCGGTGTGTGTAGCACCACGACGCGGGGCGCCAGTCTAATTGCGCACCAGCAGAGCGAGAACGTCGCGAGCGACGGAGCGGCTTAGCAGCTCGCGCAGCGGCATGAGCACCGAGCCAGCCAGCCGTTCCAGCAGGGCCGCCGCGGAAAGCACCTCGGCGGCCAGCGCCCGATCGATGCGGCGGCTCGGGTCGCCCTCAGGATGGCGCGCAAGAGCACCGCCCTCGTAGTCGAGTGGCGTGAGGTAGTCCATCAGGTAGGCGAAGACCAGGTCCGGGATCATGGCCGCAGTGCGTCGCGCGTCTCGTCGTTCGACACACTGTCTCGTCGCGTAGTACACACGTCCAGGCGCGGATCGCCGCCGCAGGCGGCGGCAGCAGCGAGCAAAGAAAAAAAGAAAATGATAATGCCCGCCTCCCGGTGGGGGGTCCTCCCCGTCGGGTGCGGCGGGCCGGGCGGCTTGAGCCTCGAGCCGCTCGAGCCGCTTGCGAAGCACTCGTAGCTCCTCGGCCGAGTCCACAGGAGCGGGAGGCGCGGCTGGGGCCCCGTCGGTGCCCCCGCCAGCCCCCGAGGGAGGGGGCTCCGGCCCAGAGCCATCCTTATTTCGCGCGGCCATTCCGCTGGCTTTGGCACTTTGCCGCTCCTCGCCGTGGTCGTTCCTTAGGTCCGAGGTTCTTTTTTTGTGAGCGTCGTGGGGACGAGTCTCTGTGCGCTGTCTTTTTTGCTCTCGCCCACCCCTCCTCTCTCTCCGCTCCATTTCGGTATTCGCCTTGGGCGGCGTACTGTGGACAAAACACGGTTATGCACGGAAAAGAGAGAGATGCGTGTGTGCATGCCACTGCATGATGTACACTGTACACTGTGTCACATCGGTGTCCCGGGGGCGAAGGAAAGCTCTAAGCTGCTCACTCCCCTCGCTCAAAGTGCACCACCTCTCCCCCGCGCAAGAGCTGGCTATGCCTCACTGCGTGCGATGGCGCCTCCACGGCGTCCATCGCAGTCACCGGGTAGCCCGGATGGGGCCCGCCGTACTCGACGCCGTACCAGCCTCGCGACCGCGGCGACGACGGTGAGCAAGCGTGCTGGGGGTGCCACGAGGGGCCGGCACTCGACTTAAAGTTGTCTGCGGATGCGGGCCTGCAGAATGCCATCGGTATGACGGGCGGGCCGCCGACGAGGCGAGCCTGCAGAGCGGTCGGGCGCGCCGGGTGAGCCACCCTCCCCACACGAGACGGAAGCGAAGCTAGAGTCTCGGCTCTGGAGGACCTGCTGCTGTGAGTAGAGCGACGGGTCGGGAAGTCGCGCGTCGTGATGGTAGCCTACGGGCATTGGCCGATGGCGAGTGGGCGAGGGCCGTGCGCTGGCGACACGTCGTGGTGATGCCTTTGCCGGGCATTACCGCGGGCCCCTGGCTGCCGCTGCTGCTGCTTGCTCGGGCAGCGTGAGCCGCTCCCGAGGATGCCTCTGCCCCCGTGTAGACTGGCAACGGGTTCGGAGGAGAGCGATTGTCAAACGCAAGGTCCGCGAATCTGTTGCGGCGGGGCATGCGAGTCACGGGGCGAAGGAACCCCTCCTCTCGTGAGACACGTCCTCAAGGAGCTCCTCTCGTGAGACACCAGTCGCCTTGACGGCGACCATGCCCCACCCCTACGTATCTCCTATCTCTGCTTCATGGCACACATGATGTCCATCACGGAGAGGCTCCTCGCTGCCTCGAGCGACGTCTCGCGCTGCTTGGCTGGCGGGCTCTCGGCCGCCGCTGCCGCCGGCCCGCCGCCCGCCCAACCCGATGGTTGCGGCTCCCTGGTCCGGGATGAGGCGTGGCCGCCTACGGCCAGAGCTCCGAGGTTCGGTGCCATGCGACTCCGAGGCGCGGGCGGGTGTGGGCAGCAAAGGCAACAGGGCACTTTGTGTTAGCGGGAGGGAGGGGTGCGTGGGACAGGGACAGCGCCGGTGCCGCGGTGGGAACTGGGTAGGAAACACGAGGGGCGCGGGAGGGAGAATGCACACCCCTGCCCTGGTATCCGCCAGGATAGAGGGGTAGCGGCTGCATCCAGCTAGTCGGTTCTGCGGGGCCCGACGACCAGGTTTGCCGCTTGAGCGACGCTTCGGCCTACGCGCACAACGCGCATACAAGCGTCATGTGCATGAAGGGGGCGGCAAGATGAGATTCGGGGAATCGCCTCGGCGTCGGTCATCGTGCAGTTGTGCCCCTTCTTCGGCTGGCCGCAACGCTTGCATCTGTAGGAAAGTCCTCGGCGGTACAACCGTGCCTCCTTGCCCGCCTGGTCCGTGCCGCGGCCATCCGCGTGGCTCGTCCGCTCCTCCATAGCGTGCGCGTTTGGCGTTCTCGGAGTGACCGGCGACTCGCCTACACCGTAGTATCGCCTCGTCCGACTGCGAAGCGAATGCTCTCAGATGCTGCACCGCGACCGTCGCCTGGTCTATCACCGGCGCCGGCACGGGAGCTGGCTCTGCAGACACCGGCACCGTTATGCTTCCCCGCGTCGACCGCGCTGCTGCTGCTGCTGCTGCTGTTACCCCTGCCGACGCTGACAACGCAGCTGCCGCCGCTGCCACCGCCGGCGCCGCTAGCGCCACCGACGTTCCTGTCGCCACCGCCGACGCGGCCACAATCCCCACGGCTCATCATCCCGTCACCGCCGAGGCCATGGCCCGCCGGAGCGGCAGCGTCGAACGTGCCGCAGCCGCCATGTTCGACGCCTCCGGCCCCACCGCAGGCACCATGGCTAAGCCCGCCGCATCCGAGTCCGCCACGAAGTCCGCTGTAGATGACGCCCTCGCTCTGCTGCAGCTGCTCGGGCGGCCGCTCGCTCTTCGGCTGCTTTAGCGCTCGAGTCGCGGCGGGGTCAACTGGAACCAGCAGCAGCCTACGGAGGAGGGGCCTGCGCGTTCTGCTCTTGCTCCGCAACCCTGCTTGCCCGCCAGTGTCAGGGAGGACAGGGCACGCACCTCTCTCCATTGATGACGATCCCCGAGGCTCGGGCGGCCGGCACCTGGCAGGGAAGGGGGGCAAGTGGACAGCGAAGTGTATCTGGCGTCTGTTGTAGGGTCGGATCCGGCATTAGCGACGCGTGAGCGATCTCTACGGGCACTCACATCCCTCTCGCGCACGACCACCACGACGCTGGTGCCGCGGCGGTCGATGCGCGCTACAGGTTGGGAGAGCCCTGCTTCGAGGACCGCCGTCTCGACCTGAAGGGGACGAGAAAGAGCTTCAGGCGCTGGCACGGGAGACACACTTGAGGGGGGAAGGGGGGGGTGGGTCGAGCATTTGGGCTTCGGTCATCGTCTGCCAGCCACAAGAGGCAACGGATGGAGGGGAAGGGGGCGGAGAGTGACGCGAGTGACCGGGGCGGGGAAGCTTGGCCATGCTGGGCGTGTCTACTGCCGATGGTGCGGTCCGGGCGGTCGCGGGCACGGCGCAGACCTCGGCCAGCGAAAAATCCCTCTCACTTGAGCTCGGGCCGCACACGTACAGCTCCACGCCATCTTCCTCACCCGATGGACGGGCGCGCCGTGCCGTGGAGGTAGCCGTCGCGCTTGCGACCCCCCGCGACGATGTCTCCGTGCTCAGCACCAGCGGCTCAATTTGTGGAGGTGCTGGAAGGCCTTCGGCTGCCGCCGGCTCGTTGACTCTGGGGGAGCCGTGGAGACCGGAGGCAGGGCCGTGCGAGACCAGACTACCGGCGTCAGGCCCCATGCCGTTGCCATTTCCCTGCCCGAAGGCCGGGGCCCGCTCCATGCGCTCACCGAGCCGGTGATCCCCCCGCGAGCGAACGCATGCAGTCCAATCCTTTGGGGGTTTCGCTGCGCTTTGGGGACGTATTGGCCATCGGGCGTCGTCGCCGACTCATTGCCAAAAATCGATTAGTTCGTTTGGCGGCGGAACAATGGATAGCTCGTTCCTGGGAATGAGAAGTCAGCTTGGAGGCGATGGACGAACGCCAACGCGACGCGTCGACTTTGAATTTTGGCGCTCGGTAGGAAGGAGATTGGTTGGCAGATTGCCTCTGGTGGGTGGGAGACAAACAAACAAGCCAGCGGGTCTGAATGAACCTGCCTGCCTGCGAGGTCTCTGTGGGCCACAGAGCCACGATGGCTGACTGAGCGGATCGTCCTCCTCGTCGGCTCCGCCTGGCTCGCGCGGCGTGGAGAGCTCGAGAGCAAGCAAGCATCCGGCGCCCCGTCCGCGGATCGCCTGAAGCGTCGGCAGGCCCTTCGGAGCCCCCAAGGTGCGCGAGTGTGAGTATTCTTGATACGAAACAACGACGACACACACCAGACCTGAGACAGCTGCCAGTCGACTCGCATCGGTTGCCTCCATGAACGGCGGAGCTATTCTCGCGTCCACACACACACACACACACACACACACACACACACACACACACACACACACACACACACACACACACACACACACACACACACACACACACACACACACACACACACACACACACACACACACACACACACACACACACACACACACACACAACAGGGCTCCAGGCCCCAAATGACGTGTGAGTGTTAGAGTTGTTTGGCATTGCTAAAAATCACACACACACACACACACACACACACACACACACACACACACACACACACACACACACACACACACACACACACACACACACACACACACACACCTACTAAGGTAAGGGGTAAGGTAAATTTCTCCACACACACAAAGTGGTGGGGCAAGGGGGGGCGACCCTCGCATCTCCATACCCGGACACGGGCAGGAGCCCCACGGCGTTCAAAGTGCAAGCACTGGCCCGGTGCACGTGGGTGAGCAGCCTCGTGCCGCCCTCCCCCCCTCCCGGTAAGTGGTATATTGTTTCGCCCCCGATAAGAGGCACAACAGAACATAACGCGTGAAGCATTAACCATGATTGCCCCGGTCGCGATAACACAGTATATGGTACACATCGCATGCAACGAACCGCCGGAGAGTCACGCTCCCCTTTTTCACGTACTGCGCTCTCGTCTCTCTCTCCCACCTCCTCGCGTCCGCCCACGGGTCGCGCGCCTCCGCCCCGCCCACGCCGAGGTCACGTTGGTTGAGCGAACATCCGATCCAGCAAGCGCGCGGGCGCAAAGTCGAGCTCGACGCGAAAGTGCGGGTTGTACCTGGTCCGAGGGCGAGAGGCGCCGCGCTTTGCGGCCAAATCGACACGCGCAGAGGGGCGGAGCGGCGGCGGCGGCGGCGGCGGAGGGGGGGGGGGGGGGGGCACCGCTTGTGGTGCGCGTCCTTGCCCGCGCCGCCGTCCAGCTGCCACTTGGACAGCACGAGCCGCGGCCTACGAAAGGGCGACACGGGACGCGTCGTGGACGTGGCGCGGCGAGCACACGCCGCCAGAGGGAGGTGCGAGAGGAGTTGCTTGCTCAGCATGGCGGCGTTGAACCAGAAGGAGAAGAGCTTGTCGTCGTGCATCTGGCCGCTCGCGCGGTGGGACACCTCCACCCGCACGTCGGAAGACAGCAGCAGCGGGCACGACTTTGTGTTTACGTCGACCACCGGGACGTCAGGCCGCGTGCCAATCAGCTGCAGGAGGCGACGGGGACGGGGTGGGGCGGGGTGGGGCAGGGTGGGGCAGGTGGGGGTGACGACGGGACCTCGAGCAGCCTCGGGAGCCTCGGGCAGCCTCAGCCAATCTCGGGCCGCATCGGGCCATCTCGGGCCATCTCGGGCCATCTCGGGCCATCTCGGGCCGCCTCGGGGCCATCTCGGGCCGTCTCGGGCCGTCTCAGCCACCTTGCCCGCCGAGCTGAAGACGAGGGGTGCCATCGGCGCGTCGGAGCTGCGCCACTTTGGCGGCGGCGGCGGCCCCTCGCTGTCGCCGTCGGCGAGGGCGAGCTCGCTCGCGGGCACCCACCCCACCGCCCCCGCCTCGCTCCTCCACGCCGCCGTCTTTGGGACGTGCTGGGTAACCTTGATGCAGAGGGCTGGCCGCTTCTCCGAGACGCCGATCGGCAGCGTGACGAGGCGCACCCGCACCAGCCGGCAGGCGGCCTGCCGGTCCAGGAGCCGCTCGCACGCGGCGGGCTCGCGGCAGAGGCGCGCGTAGTAGTGCACGTACAGCCGCTGTGACGCGATGGTGACGCCCTCGCAGTTGTTTGTCCTCGCGAAGCCGTAGAAGGCGAGCGCGTCGTCCGCCGACCGAAAGTCGCCGCGGTGCAGCAGCGCCGCGGAGATCATGGTGCCGGTCCGCCCCTTGCCCGCCTTGCAGTGGACCACGGCGACGTTGTCGGGGTGCTCGTCGTGCCACGCGGCGACGCTCGCGCAAAAGTCGTGCATCATGCGCAGCGGCGGCGGGTTGTGGTCGTCAAACGGGAAGACCTCGACGCGGCCGCGGAACTTTGAGGGGTCGTAGGAGCGCTCCGAGCAGAGGTTGTAGACGCGGTAGTGGCCGTGGTGCCGGTTCTCGAGGAAGCTCACGACCTCGGACATCGGGTTGCGGTACACGCCCTCCGTGCCCTCGGAGGGGAACCCCATCGCGATGACGCGCGGCGTGATGTACGACAGGTCGAGGTCGAAGCCGGCGTCGCGGAAGCGGCGCTTGCTCTTGGAGACGAGGTGGCGCAGCGAGCGGGAGGAGGGGATGGGCATCCTAGCCGGAGACGAGAGCGAGAGCGGGCTCGCCGTCTTCGGTATGGGCGAGCGGAGCGGCGAGGGCAGCGGCTCCGGCGAGCGGACCGGCGCGGTGACGTCGAGGTGCGCCGCGACGAAGAAGTCCGCCGGGAAGCGCTTGTGCTTGCGGTCCGAGGCGGCGCCGTCGAGCTCCGCCTTGCTCAGGCGGACGACCGCGCGACTCGACCCGTGCTCGGGAACGAGGCACGCCGGGTGCATCCAGAAGGACAGCATCTTGCGCTTCGCCTGAGGGCGGCGGTGGCGAGGGTGGCGGTGGCGAGGGTGGCGGTGGCGAGGGTGGCGGTGGCGAGGGTGGCGGTGGCGAGGGTGGCGGCGGCGAGGGTGTGGCAGGCGGGGTTGGCGGCTGCGCCTTCGGGTCGCCGTCGAACAGCGTCACCTTGAAGTCCGACTCCAGGTAAATGCCGCTGCACCCCAGCGACACGGCGGTCGAGGTGCCAGCCTCCGAGTGCCGGCGGACCGCGGGGCGGTCGCAGAGCAGCACCTCCTCCTCGAAGGTCGTCACCAGCAGCCACGGGTCGCAGGAGCCACGCCCGTCGAAGTTGGGGAGCGACTGGAGCCGCAGCTCGAGCAAGCGTGCGCACGCGGGAGGGAACCAGCCCCTCGCGTCGATCCGGCCGAGGAGCGAGTGGAGGTAGTGCACGTACCGCACCTGCGACGGGATGGTCACGCCCTTGCGGTCGTGCGTCCGCATGAGGCTATACCAGTCGAGCGCGGACTGCGGGTCGTCGAACTCGCCCGCGTAGAGCAGCCAGGAGCAAATCATGGTTCCGGTCCGCCCCTTGCCAGCCTTGCAGTGGAGCACGACGACGTTCTCCTCGTCGTCGGCGAGGAAGTCGGAGACGCTCGCGCAGAGCTGCGGCATCATGCGCAGCGGCGGCGGGTTGTGGTCGTCAAACGGGAAGATCTTGACGCGGTTGCCAAAGTGCTTCGGGTCGTAGGAGCGCTCCGAGCAGAGGTTGTAGACCAAGTAGTGCTCGCGGTGGCGCCGCTCGAGGAACGAGACCACCTGGGACATCGGGTTGCGGTAGGCGGCCTCCGTGCCCTCGGAGGGGAACCCCATCGCGATGACGCGCGGCGTGATGTACGACAGGTCGAGGTTGAACCCGTCCTGCGCGAAACGGCGCTTCTCCTTGGACACGAGCGTGCGCAGCGCGCCCGTGACGCCCGTCGACGCGCGTGCGTGCTTGGCGTTGCCGACGGCGCCGCGCCCCTTGGAGAGCTCCCACTCCGTCGCCTCCTCCACGAGCGAGCCCAGGCTCTTTGGGAGCGGCAGCACCGCCGAGAGCGCGCCCAGCTCCGAGACACGGGTCAGCACGTGGGGCGGCAGCGCCGAGGCGCGGCGCGGGAAACCGGAGAGCTCGGCGACAGTCTCGCTGACGGCGCTCGCGAGCTGGTGCTGCTTCACGCTGAGCGGGGCGGCCGGCGACTTGGGCGGAGGCGGGGCGGCGGCCCGCAAGACGCTGTGCTGAAAGGCGGCGCGCGCGGCGAGAAGCAACCCGAGCGCGTTTGGTGCGGCGGGGACAGCGGGGACAGCGGCGGCGGCGGAGCGGCCGGCGGAGGAAGTCGTGCCCGCGGCCTCGTCGCCGCCCTGCCCGCCGCCCTCGTCGCCCTCCTCCACGCCCTCCTCCACGCCCTCCTGCGCGAGCCCCGGCAGGAGCGGCAGCACCTCGTCGCCGTCCTCGAACCCCTGAAGGATCTCCTGCAGCTCCTCCTGCAGGATCTCCTGCAGCTCCTCCGAGGCGCCGCCGCCGCCTGGCGCGTTCACCTCCTCGGCTCCGCCATCGCCGCCGCCGCTCACCCCGCTGCCCTCCGCGCCCGTCCCGCCTCCGCCGCCTCCGCCCGCCTCGCCGCACGCGCCAGCAAGCACCGCCTCCTCCGCTCTCTCGCCCGCAGACCCACCCGTGCTCACCGTCAGCGCGCCCGCGGTTGCGCACCGCTGGGCGGCGGCGCCGTCCTCGCCTGCGTCGGTCCGGCCGACCGCCATCTCAAAGTCGTTGAGTGTCTCATCCGACGCAGTCGTCTCCCGCTCGCCCGGCCAGTCACCCAGTGGGGACTCGATCTGCCGCATCGCCGCAAACGCGTCGCACAAGCTTCCTCCCTCCGCGCGCGGCTCGACAGTGGGGGCGAGGCCATACACGGACGCCTCGCTGGCCGCGCCCGAGCGGCGCACCGACCGGTGCACGCACTCCTCGCGCAGCGCCGACGCCCACGCCTCCGCGCCGTCCGCGTCCACCGTGCGGAACGTGTGTCCGCGCTGGCGCGTCACGACGGTAAAGGAGGAGCCCTCGCGCGCGCCCCTGCCGACGGTGACGCGGACGTTGTCGTCGAGGGGGAGGACGTGCAGCGGTACGGCCGACGTCGGCAGCCGCAGCACCACCAGGCGCCCGGCCTGCAGCACCAGCCAGCGCGACGACCAGCGCAGCTTGCCCTCCTTCTCCACCGTACCGGACATCCGCCACGCGCGGCCGCGTCCCTCTGGCACATCGGAGACCGCGTCCGCGCGTGTCTGGACGGGCGCTGGGCTGCTCTTCCAGCTGCTCCACCACCAGCTGCCGCTGGCGAGGGCAGGGCCGCTGCTCGCCGCCTTGTCGACGATCCCCTGGCAGAGGAAGAGAGCAGTGTGGGCGGAGACTGAGGAGGGCCCGGCCCGGCTTTGTGGCGTGTGCGGGGAAGCGGTACGGAAGATAGTGGTGCGAGTGGAGGCGGGAGAGGCGGCGAGTGGATACGGAGGCGAGTGGGAGGAGGAGGGGTCGACGGCACGCTGCCGCGACGAGGGGGCGTGCGGACGCTAGGCGGGCGGATGCACCTGCAGCTGCGTGAGGAGGCGGCCCCGCTCCTTCTCGCTGCCGAGCCGCAGCGTCATGTGCTCGTTTCCGAGGTAGAGCGAGATGGCGCGGGGCTCGACGGCGAAGACGGCGGAGAGCTGGCCGAAGGCGGCGCGCCGCATCGGCTCCTCCTTGTGGAAGAGCACGAGGTGCGACCCCGCGTAGTCTGTGTGCAGGATCCGCCGCTCGGACGAGGCAAAGGTGCCAGAGCCGCGGCGCAAGACGTCAAAGTAGTGGTCGAGCGGGAGGGAGGGCGGCGCCGACGCCATGTAGCCGGTGGAGGCCGCCCGTGCCGTCATGATCGCGAGCGCGAGCTCCGCACGCTTGAGATCCTTGGGAGACTGCGCTGCAAGCCGCTCCAGCACCGCCTGCGGGAGAGGCTCGGTGCGCAGCCGGCTGGCCAGGGCGCCGAGCGCGTTTTCGTGCAGGAAGATGAGGTCCAGATCGATCGTGCCCACCACCTCGGGGCCCGCAGGGAGGTCGTTGAAGGAAAAGGACCCTTGCTGGTGGTGCAGCTGGTCGTACAGGTCCTCGACCGCCTGGCGGAAGCGGAGATAGAGCCGCTCGTCGTTTGGAGTTCGCTCGAGAGCGCGGGCGAGGAGAGTGCACGCAGACTCCCACTCGCCACCCTCCTGCAAGCGCAGGACCTCAGACAGGAGCGGATCGGCCTCGTCGGCGAGGCCGTCCGAAGGAGGCTCCATCGAAGTGATCGGCAAGTTGCGCAAGGCACTCGTCCGTCCACTGCCAGATAGGAAGAAAACCGCGTCGGGTCCGTCGTCTGCCAGAGTTATCGTTCTATATTTGGAGGCAAATGCTCGGAGTGGGAGTCAGAAATGTGGTCCTTGCGCGAGGAGAGCTCGATACACTCGAGGGGCCAGGATACGCCGCGAGGAGGACGGAGTTGCGCCGAAAGGCGAAAGAAGCCGCGAGAACAAGGGACCGGCAGGCGGCGGCGTCGCAGGACGAGACAGAAGAGAACGACGCGACAGAGGAGGAAGTGACAAGGGAGAGAACGACGAGAGTGGGACGACCGCGAGGTGGCATGAAGGCTGCAGCGAGAAGCGGCGAGAGACTGCGAAGAGAGATAGGAAGAGGCAGACTCCCTAGGGTGGGCGACGGCTAGCGCATCACACACCTCTCCTTAAAATCCCTGTGTGGTGGCGGCGTGCCGTCCTCCCATCCCTCCCTTGGGTTGTCTGTTTTCTTTCTTTCTTTCTTTAGAGTTATCGTTCTCTGCACCAAGGAGTGCAGGGTGATTGATCTCGCGATTTCCCTCTTGGTAGGCGCCGGCGTGGTGTGCGGCACATACCATTCTCACAGTGACAGGGACGGACCTGCCCTTCCCACACCACTCACACCACTCGGAAAGGCACACCATTTTCCTCTTTCCACCCACTCCTCAGCGGGCCCGCTTCGAGCCATTCTTCTGGCCCTTCTTGGTGGAGGAGTGGCGCGGTTTGGGCTTGCCCTTCTGGCCAGAGCTCGTGCCGCCGCCCAGCCCGAGGGCCTCCATGGCCGCAGCGTGCTCGCCCTCACCAGCGCAGCACTTTCCCTGGCGCAGGTGCTTGTTGCGCCCGTCCTTGCTCGCGTACTTCTTGAAGCAGAGTGGGCAGTCAAAGGTCCCCTGCTGCTCGGCTGCATCGCGGTGCCTCTTATTCCGCGCTGCAGACTCGGAGCGGCCGCCCTGCGCCTCAGCCTCGGCCTCGCGGATCTCCGGGAGGTGGGTGTCGACTCGTGGATCTCGTAGAGCGAGCGGACGAGGAGCGCCGCCACGGGGAAGAGCGAGTGGCTTGCCGGCGACCACGGCGGCGCCGCCCGCCGAATCAGCGCCGCCGCCCGCCGAATCAGCGCCGCCGCCTCACCCTCGCCGCCCGCGGCGCGCTGCAGCAGCTCAGCCGGAACGCACTCGAGGTGGCCCTCCCGGCACGCCTTGTACAGCGGCGAGAAGCCGGAATCCGTGGCTTGGTTGGCGTTGCGGAGGAATTGCACGCGATTGACGCACTCGAGGCAGCACCACCTCGCACGCGAGGAGGAGAGCAGAAGCGCTGATTACGCCAGCTACGCCAGCCACCACGCACGCCCGCGCCGCCCTCGAGCAGCCGCCGCACCGCTTCGGTTCGGCCGTGCCGCTTCGCCCGTGCCGAGCGGCTCAAGTCAGCAGCGTGTCTCGCGTCTCGGCCTCAGCCGCCAACGAGACATCACCGGGACATCACCGGGCTCTGCCGAGCGCCGCTCCCGCCGCCGCTCCTGCCACGGCGCCCGCGCAAAACAGCAGCGCGCCGCCCGACCACGCGCGCGCCCGTTCCCGCACGGCGCCCGTCCGCCACTCGCTCCAGGAGCCGCCGACCGGCTGCTGCCCTCCTCGCTCCTGGCCGAGCCGCTCCTTGCGCCACTCCGAGAAGCGCCACTCGCGTGCGGAGAAGGCGTGCGCGTCCTTGCCCAGCAGCTCCTCGACGCAGCGCGCCAGCTCCCGCTCTGGCGTCGTCGAACCGTTGGCGAAGGCCTCGTCGAAGTAGCGGACGTGCGGCAGGCCGAGCGAGCGCGCCTTGGTGGCGGCAGCAAGGGGTCGCACCAGCAAACGCCCTCTCGGGCAAGCTCGGGCAAGCTCGGGCAATCTCGGGCAATCTCGGGCAATCTCGGGCAATCTCGGCTGATCTCGCGCCTTGCCGACGTGGTCGCGCACGCCCTCCGTGTCGACCATGCCCGGCGAGAGAGAGGCGACCGGCACGCCGACCTGCTCGGCGTTGAGCTGCTCGTACAGCCGGTGGAAGGCCATCTTCGTCACACCGTACACGGCGGTGCCGCGCTGCGGGTGAAAGGCGACCGAGGTGCCGAGGTGGAGCACGCGCCCCTCGCCGCGCCGCAGGTGCGGCAAGAAGGCCTGGAACAGCGCGAGCGGGGCCACCACGTTCACGCGCAGCGCCGCCTCAAAGTGCTCGACGGCCAGCTCGCCCAGCGGTGCGGGGTCGCCGATGGCTGCATTCTGCACGAGCAGCCGCACCGCCGCGTCGGCCGGCAGGGCCGCCACGAGCGCGCCGCGCCCGTCCGCGCACGAGATGTCGCACGCCTCGGTGACGACGTTGGCAGGGCACGGCGCGCTCCTCTGCGTCTCGCGCAGTACCGCCGGGCGGCGGCCGCAAGTGAGCACGCGGTGGGTCCTGGAGAAGTGGTGGACGAGGGCGCGGCCGATGCCGGTGCCGCCGCCGGTGACGACGATCCAGGAGGCATCCGACATATATATCCAAAGGCTGTGCGCTTCCTGGGTTCCAGCTTTTCCCGGGGTATGGTATGGTTGCGCACGGCCCAAAGGGTGGGGGGGTATGGTCCTGACCGCCTGCTGCCTAGGGAGGCTGGGTCTGTCAGCAGGCACAACAAAACTCTCGCACACACACACACACACGCTCTCTCCCACGCTCTCTCCCACGCGGTGGTGGCAAAGGCGAAGGCGGCGGCGGTGGGCGCTCCCGTTCGGTGTAGGCATAATGTGGCGACGACGAGGAAGTGGAGGGAGCGCGCATCATAGCGAGCATCGAAGCAAGCCTCGAGCTCGCGTCGGCCTCATCGTAATGCCGCAGAAAGTTCGCGTCGCGGCTGGCCGAGGCGAACAGCACGGCAGCACCTGTCGCAGCAAGCAGCGCGGCGGCGACGCGCCACGCTGATGGGCGCGTGGTGGAGGAAGGGGGCAAAGAGGTGAGCATGCGGGATCACAGCTAAGGAGGGGACTGTGATAGAGAGTTGTTTTTTCTACTTCTCTACTTCTCTTTCTCTTGAGCACTTGAGCACTGGTTCTCGAGGTTCTCGAGGTGGATATCCTTTGGCCGCGTTGGGTAGCGAGGATTGGTGTGACGCGATCCACGCAGGCGTGTTTTCTGGCGGCCGACCGTCAGTGCACGGAGTTGCTGTTGGAGAGTGTGAACTCAAACCTACTTCCTGACCGTAGCCTGACCGTCCTTGTGTAACCGTCTCATGTTTGGTTTGTCCTGCCGCGCACATTGTCATCGACTTGTATCCGACTTGGTGGCTGTGGTGATGTAGCGATGGTGTGGGTCTCTAGTGACCTATATAGCTCCTCCGTGTTCCGTCTCCTGACATGGTACCGACCGGTGAGTGCACGGAGTGAGCAGTGCGGCACTGAGGCCGACATGAGAGCTGGTGCGGCACACAAGCGAGATGTGTTGCCGCACAGCATTTCCGGCTTGCGCTCGATACGTTGGCTGGCACCATGGGCATATGCGCGAGCCGTGGTGATTGGCTGGGCACAGAGGCTCGGCGCACGGTGGCACAGCGGCCGCCAACTGCTCGGCACGGAGGCTGAGCAGAATGAGTACAACCGCAACATCAACTTGGGTGCTTGCGGATCTTCTGCGACAGAGCGCATCTCCGCCAGCACTGCGGCTGTGTGGACACGAGTATCCCCTCTTGCTTCTCCTTACCGGTCCGTTCTCCTCGCCTACGGACCACCATCGCAGCTGCTGCCTCCGCTACCAGCTCTCGGGCTGCTGCAACGGCAGTTACCGCAAAGATCTCGCACCGAATGTGGACCCTGCCTTTCGCCGCCGCTACTTCCGACGTCGCCGCTCGACACGACCGGAGCTGTACGCGATAAACACGCGACGATCGACACGCCCTCTCTGCCTTGTGTGGCGATTACCACGTCGTGGGGGAGTGTTGGGCATCTGTTCGACGTGGCAATGCCACTCTACCTCATTGCTGTCTCTTCCTCGTCTCGCCTCCTCGCGCTAGCCCGTCCCGCTATCCAACGCCTCTGGCAAGAAGTCCAATGCGCCTCTACGAACGTCTCTGCCGTCTGGACGTCTGAGACTGAGCCTGCCATCTCCGACGTCGGCGGCCCGTGGCGCAACATCAACGTTCGGGGCATTGAAGATCGTCCTCACGTCCCTGATGCGCTCATCCGCGTCAACGCGGCGAGGCCTCCCAACGGCCCAATCGCCGCGCCGCAAGGAAGCGCCCCCGCTGCCGCTCCCGCGCCCGCCGCGCCTGCCGCGCCCGCTCAAGCCGCCGCCCCGCGACGCTCAGCCCGGATTGCAGCTCGCGGCGCGCCATGACCGAGCTCCACAACGAGCTCCTGTTGATTATCTCCCCTTTCTCTCTCTCCGCCCACTCGGCCGCGCTTTGACCCCTTCACTGGATCATCTTAGCGCGCAAGTCTTGCCACCGCTCTCGTCGCCGCCCACGGCGTCGTCGACTCCGCCCTCGCCGATGTACGCACCCGCCACGCCGCCCTCGACGAACAGGTTCGTCACTGGGTCGACGGCACCACACGCTCCGCCTACCACCCGCACCTCAAGCGCGGCTTCCAGCTTCCGCCCCTCGCCGCCCTGTTGGGTGACGCCGACGGCACATCTTCCTCGTGCCTCTCACAGCACTCGCTGTCGGCTGTCGTCAACAACGACGCGTGGCTGGACGCCAAGGACGCGTGCGACCCGAGGTCAGATCCTTCTACTCTGTTGATGACAAGACTTGTCTACTGGCTGGAGCCGAGCAGGAGGGCCCAGCGCACAACCCCTGGTCAACTCAGGGTCCACACCCCGTCTAGGGCCCTCGCCTCCCCCCAGAGATTTTCGTCACCGAGAGAAATCTGTGATGCCCTGTTGGAGATGGAGTTGGTACAGTATACAGAGTACTAAAGTAACGTATTACAAAGTACGCCGATTTACCATTTTCGAACTACCTTGTCCGACAACCAACCTACTACAGTTGTACTTGTCTCCACGCCTAAAGCCGTATTTCTCACAGCGAGAACACGCTCGCGCCCTCGGACATCCTCGCGATCTCCTCCTCCGAGATTTGGATCGGCGCCACGTTGCCGAGCGGCGCCTCGCGGAAGATGGGCCGAGGTCTAGCCGAGGTCTAGCCGAGGTCTAGCCGAGGTCTAGCCGAGGTCTAGCCGAGATGTGGCCGAGGTACAGCCGAGCGGCGCCTCGCGGAAGATGGACTGAAGCCGCTGGAAGGACTCGGACACGTCGCCGCTGCCGGCGGTCCGCAGCTGCCAGCCGAGCGCCGCGCGCAGCTCGCGCAGCCTCTCGCGAGTGTATCGCCTGGTCCAGGCCGCTGAGTGGTTGATCAACGAATGAAGCAACTCGCGCAACCTCTCTCGCGGGCGCTGCGGCGCCGGTTGAAGAAGCCCGCCGCCGGCTCGCCGGCGAGGCCCTCGAGGCCGAAATCCGCGGTCATGCCCCGGCGGCACTGCACGACGGCGGCGCCGCCCGAGTCGGCGCCCGTCGGCACCACGTAGAACTGGCAGTCGTCGACATACACTCCGCTCAGCTGCGCCTGCTCAAACGTGACCCGCATGTACCTCCGGTCGACCGACTGCGCGAGGACCTGCGTGTCGGGCGGTCGCGGGGGTCGGCTCGCGCCGCGGAGACGGGCGCTGCGGTCGTCTCCAGGACGACCTTTGCGCCAGGCCATTCGAGGAGGAGCGAGCGGAGCTGCCTCACGGCCGCCTCGACGTCGTCCGGGAAGGTCCACGACTCCCACTGTCCGGGAGTCATCTTCATCGCGCCCTCCGCGTCTCGCGGCGCCGGCCGGCTGAGCACTGGCCTGAGGGCCTCCCGGAGAGCCGGAGGCGGCGACAGCTCGGGGACGGCCGGAGCGGCCTCCAAAGCGCCCGGCCGGCTGATCAGGAGTGGCGAGAGGAGCGAGCTCACCACGAGCCTCCGGGCGAGCGGAGCCGACCGGGTGCTGCAGCTAGGGGAGCACATGGCAGTGTGGCAACGGGCAATGTGTGGTCGGTGGCAAACCGGCGCCGGGGGCGGTGCCCGCTGCGCTTTTTTTATTCGAACTCACTTTTGGTGGGGCACTTTTTCTTCTTACTCAAGGTGGACGGCCACCGACCGAACATTGAGCGCGTCGAGCCGCCGACAGCTTTCGCTCACAAAAACCACCATGCCCTCCATCGCGGAGCGCATGGCAAGCTACGCCAAGTCCCTCGCCTCGGACGGGAACGGCAACCCCACCCTCGACGCTGCAGACATGAGCCACGCGGACGCGATTCCTCCGACGCCCGGTCGCGGGGACGAGGAGTATCTCTGCAACAATTTCCGCCTGGACCCGAGCGCGGACTTCGGGATGTGCAAGTGCGGCTACAAGAAGATCGACCACCC